ATTATTTTTGCCCATTAAAAAAAATCAGGTTTGTAAACTCCAAAGGTCTCTCTATTGGCATAAATAGGCTAATAGACAATGGTGTTTCAAGCTCTCTCAAGAACTTGTCAAAGCTGGTTTTCCAATCTTTCTCTTATCACTCTATGGTTTGAATCAAACATGAACAATTCCTTTACTGGCCATTTTTAATTGATGACACTGATTTTGGCAAGTAATGATTTTGGAAGAGATAGATAGAAGTAAAACTCCCTTCTTTTGGGAATCCATATTTTCAAATAAGGGATTTTGGGAACCCATTAAATCTCTTTCTTGGCCCTTAGAAACTACTTAGAATCCTTAGCCCAGCATTTCAATTTTGCAATGCAAATAATGCATTAGAGCTTCTTTTCTGACACCGAGTTAATTTATCATTTCTAGTGCGTAAGCCAACATCGACACACCTATGGACACTCATGTCAAAACTTGGTAATTCTACTAGTACACCTCTTTCTAGGTTCTTCTAGTTACAGGAAAATCTTGTTGCGTCAATTACTCTACTTAAACCCACCACATTGGCTAATATATTCAATTTCCGCTGTAAACCGGTTTAATCAAGCGCTCTTCATGTCGCTGCATAAATCCTACTTTTTCATGCAACGCACCAAGCACATAGAGCTGATCGTCATATTGTGAGTGAAACTATCCATTTTCTTCTTTTCAATGACCTCGAGCTTGGAATATACATCTCTGAGCTTATGGAGAGGGGAAAGGGTGCTTTTCAGATAAACAAGGGACCACAAGAAGCTTCTCAACCTCAAGAGCCAGTTACTTGATTTATTTTTCTATTTTAAATTAGCTGGTTGAGTTTTTTATTGTTGCACTTGTAAACAATTATTTAGAAGTTTATTCAGTGTTAGTTAGGCAAATAATTGAGCTCATGTATTTTCTATCTTGAATTTTTCCGCCAACCTTTCTTTGTATATTAAACAAAACTTTCCTCAGTTTCAAATAAAGATGATGCGCAATATTCATTTCCAAATTTGAACTTGTTTTTAAAGAGTTTGAAGGAAGCCAAATGAAACAGAAGTTTTTCTCTGTGTCTTTGAAGACAATTTGAAAGTGAAGATTCACAAGTAATGCTATTTTGAAAAAATGATGGTTTTAGAAGAACCCAACGACTTTAAAAGAAAGAGAAGGAAAAATTCTGCAGAGAATTATGTAAAGTGCTGAAAGAGAAAAGATCTAATCTATATTATAGCAGAGTTGAAAATAATTCATACAAGAATTATTCTAAAGTTTGTTTACAAGAATTATTCTAAAGTTTGTTCACCAAATCTCTATAAATCAAGGAAATTTTTCTTCCAAATTATTGGGAAGGCTGATAGGTTGGGTGTAGCTCTTGGTACTGTTAAGTTTTTCCTTAACAATATTAATATTAATAAAAAAAATTGAATTTGCTGATAAAAAAAGATGACAACTCAATTGAGCTATTAAAATAAATTTCTTAATATTATTATTGGTGTTTAATGTCGTATCCTAATTAAGTTTGTAAATGAGCTAATCCGAGTTTTGATGAGCTCGAGCTCGGTAGGTAAGGATATGTTCGAACTCGCGTTCGAACTCAGCTCGAGCTTATTTCAAACTCAAAAGTTCTAGTTTCAGCCCCACTCATTTAAAAATAACTAATTTCGAGCTTGATTTGATAACCATAAATGGAGTTTAAACTTGAACTTGAAATCTATTGAACCAAAATGGCATTATTTAATGTAAGATAATTAAAATTTAGCATATTTTAGCTAACTCATGTGCGCATCTCAATTCAATAAAATAAGCTTGCGAGCTAATGACCTGAACTTGAGCAAGGCTCATTCATTAAATGAGCTTGATAGCTCGGCTCCATAAACTTATCGAGTGAGCTCCAACAAACTTTTATCGAGTCCAGTCTCGCGTAGCTCACCAACGGCTCAACACATTTACAACTTAACTTATTAATGATGGTACTACTATAACTTTCTTGGTATACATTAATTTCACATGCAACTCCATTCATTAAATTTTTCATATCACGGAATCTATAGATACACTAAGAGCCCGTTTAACAAATGAATTCTATAAAATTTTGTGGAATTTATTTAAAAATCCAAAATGTTGCGTTCGGATAAAAAAATATAGATTTGAATTATACGAATTGATTTCCGTGAAATTGGATATTCCTAATTCAAATTCTACTAAAAATGATGGAATTTGTAAAAGAATTTCATAAAATTGACCATTTTAAATGTTTATTGACAAAATTACCCTCTACTATAAACTCAACTATTTTTACTTTTTTTTTTCCTTTTTGTTTATTTTCTTTGGAAAATTCCAAACTATAACAACGTTATATTTTTTCAACGTTATATTTTTTAACTCCACATAAAAACATTAGTTATATATTTTTATTTTATTTCCTATTTGTTGTTTTTTTTTTTGGAAAATTTCAAACCAGTGATGTTTCTTTTCTTTTTGAAGTCTATAATAATAATAGTTATTCATTACTGTTGAAACTATAAAATGCAGGTTGTCAACAATTATTTTCAAATGAGCAATTACAAAACCAATAATAATATTCTTAATTTTTTTTAGTTTCCAAATTAATTACTTAAATTCAACAAATTTTTATACATCAATAAAAATACTCTCTCATGGTAATGTTATTGCTTATATAATTAATCTTATTAGGCGTGGAACATTAGGTGTACTTAACTTTTAATATGAAATTTATTATTTATATTTTAATAAAAAATTACAAATTATTATATTGATTACCATAATAAATATAATTTAGTGTTATGTATTTTATTTTTGGTTAAATTATTATGTCAAAGGGTCTGTTATTAGAAAATAAAGACAAATAAAATTCTCGTTCAAGAATTTATTTCAAACATAATTTTCTGGAATTCCAATTGATTTTCTTTATTTTAAATCTGTAGCATATTATTTTAAATTGTAGCATATCAAACATTACAAATTCATTTACAAATGAATTTTACTTGGAATTTATTTACAAATAAATTCTACAACCATGATTCATTTGTTTGAAACGGGTGTAAAAGTTATCAATACAACTGATTAATCCATAACCCTTAAAAATACCTTATTTGTAAAGAAAATAATATTTTTTTATAAAAATTAAACATATGTGTATATAGTGGTAATCTATAATAAAACAGTAATATATTAAGATTACTAAGTGATATCCCTAATTGAAATTTGATTACAACTTCTAATTTAGATATTATTATAAAACTTACAAAATCTTACGTTGTATGATGAGTGTTATATAATATTTTTCTTAATTATTAAATATGTTGTATGATGAGTTTTTAATTTAAAAAATAAATCTTACCATGTACAATAGGAACCCATGAGATTTTGAAAACCTAGTTAATGATATTTTAAACTCTTAATTGTTGAATAATATTTTAAACTCTTAATTGTTGAATATAAAGTCACCGTGGTCAATTTTTTTGTGCTACTTAAGGAAGAAAAATCAATTTTTTTGTGCTACTTAAGGAAATCCCTTTGCTACTTTATTTGGGTAGATTTCGCAATACCAACCTATTAATATTTGCTTATTATGCGCGGATAAAACTTATTTAAAGTTAGTATATAGTTCCCTTGTTGACCAAACCAATCGAAAATTGTGATTCTTTAAAAGTTGTTTCTACTTAATTTATATTTTTCCTAATAAATTATTAGGATTATCACCAATTACGTAAAATATTTTTTATTAATTTGATACATGCATAGGACATAAAAAGATTCCGAATAAGTCATTCACATTATGAGTAGACTTTTTTTAGAAGTAACAATTTAAAATTTTGCCAATCGTGTATAATTTGATTGGTTTTCTCATTAGTGTGAGAAGAGGTCTTGAGTTGGGATCCTTATAACCACAAGAATTTTCATCAATTTGGTAAGTCGAAGGAGGATTGCCTTGTTGTGTAACCTATTGTTATTTCAGTTCATTGAACCGGCTTTGTAATGAATTAAAAAATAATTTTAAATTTTTTAATGGAAGACGGTAAAACTCTTTTAATGGTAGCTACGTGCTAATGGTTAGCTACGTTGCCATTGTTTTGTCTATTTTAACTATTACAATTTGGCATTTTAGGATAGGAAATTGAAAAAATTTTATGGCCAAATAATTATTATTTAGGACTTAAGAAAATAAATTATAAATTAAGGTTTGGTGTCTTGCATCAAAGGTTGGTGTCTTGATCACATCCATCTCTCTCTCTTGAACCATTATATGAACAACTTTATCCATCCATATTACTCTGGGCCACTGGTTATTTATTTAAAACGTGCATATAATAGTAATGAAATAGTTTTTGAGAATCTATATGTAGTGAACTCTAGTTAATCACCTTATTTGATATATATATATATATACAAACTATTGGTATCCGGATCCTATTATCATCCTGTAAGGACATTTAGTAAGATCGAATTCGAGAGTTCTTCTCACATGTCCAGCTTGCTTTGCCAACTGAGTCATAACCCGTAAGTTGATTTGATATCTTTTAAAGATTATGCTAATAATAATCAGAAATCTCGACCACAATATATCATGTTTCTTCTGCTCATTTTTTTCAAAATAATCTCCCAATAGTTTAAGAATATTGGTTTTTGAAGGGAAACACCATTGGCTTACGAAGTGAAAATTAGTCGAAATTCCTGTGCAATATCAATATAATAATTTCAGTACAAAACGTACAAAACGTCAATTAAGATGAATTCTGTTATATTAATTGTTATATTATTGACCATGACAATTCGGCTTAACATCATTCATGTGTTACATTAATTTAAGCATTTCGCTTTATTAAATACGTGGATATCCATGTATCAAATAAAGAAAATAAAGATAACGTCTATGATCCTATTTCAATGGGAATATACTTGCCTAGACCGAATCTATAGTCCTACTTATAGATTAAATTAATGAAAATAAATTTAAGAAATACTCTCCTTTCAAGAAAAATTTATTTTTCATTAATTTATTCAATAAGTAGGTACATAGACCGAGTCTAAGTAAGTCAATCCCATCGCAAAGCGCAAAGACCAATGTACATATTTTAAGAAAAGATAACTAATCCTGCTCAAACTGCAGGATCTTTAAGCAGGGAAGCAACATAATCTTTTATAACATGAGAATTAGTGTATCCATCTTCATCTTTGTATATAACATCCATTGCGCGCGTAAGATTCAGAACTCGCTCTAACAGAGGCATAGGAACTGGAGTTGGCTTTAGGCACTCCTCATTTATGTCTTTCCATGCATTTCTAATCTCTTTCCGAAACAATTTTTCTGCCTCTTCCTTTGAACCACCATGTTGCTTTATGTAACATTCATTACACATTCAAAAAGCCGAAGCCGCATTTCTCTTTTTCTGCTTTCAAATCTATATAAATATATAAATCATACAATCAAAAATAGTTAGGAACGCCATTAAAAATCATTATTGAAAATATTCATAGGACATAAAATGTTAATTAACCTGTATGCAGATGTTATATCGTCCATAAGTCTGCAAACAGTAGCCGAAGCTCGAACAATCTTAGGGATCATTAGATATCCATTCAAACGCATATTTGTTAGCTATTTCAACCCATTTCCGAAGAAGGAAGTTGTTGCGGAGCAATGGATAACAAAGTAGTTATTAATTGAAGGTCCATAAATTCCTCCATTGTTGGGAACCATAGCCATTGTCGCGCCATTGTGGCTTCAGCTTAAATAAATCGGGACAACTCCTTTTAAGCCATAGGACATAACAAAAAAATAAATGAAACATAAATAAAATTAGATTATAACATAATAGATTCAATTGCAAAGGGCATGAAAACCAACTTCGAAGATTACTTACTGCTTCTTTCAAAAGTTAAGCAAGCAATATTAATCTCCCTTCTTAGTAACAAATTCTTCGATTTCGATTTATAGGGACATCTATTACTGTAATTAAAAATTAATTTTCATGTTACTCTGGAAGTGTATTCCTTTTCCTTAATATTCCACCTGAAACTTAAATAATCTCTTTCGAGTTTCAGAAATATGTTTGGAATTATTATTAATAACAGGCTTTTAGGCCAAAATAAATTTTAGTTATATGTTTGGAATTATTATTAATAACAGGCTTTAGGCCAAAATAAATTTTAGTTTATTAGCCTATGAATGTAATAACATGTTACAATATAGTTTTTTTATGAGTTTAAAACTAATTCGCAAAAGAGCTTGTGCTCAAAACTTTTATTGTAAAAATTTATAATTCATTGGCTGATAAAAATCCTTAACTATTAATTACTTGTTATAAATCTGACAATATATAGCAATAATATCAAATTAACTCTTATTTAAACATTGAGCCAAAAACATAATAAATTGACATGGCTGCGGAACTATTTTGAGCCCAAAACAAATTGTAATTAAACTAAAACTGGTTACGAATTGATGGTTAAGGGTTTATTCAAGTTCAAAATTTTAAAAATTTCGAACATGATAAATTAGATGATAAATTAATAAAGTAGTTAAATTAATGAGTTAACCTCTGGATAGCTTCGGTAAGGATCTCTAGTTCTGCACATGTACCATAGTTATCATAAGTATCATCGAGTAGGGATAAAGTGGCCACGACTCTTGTCATCATCCTTCTTCCAAATGAATATTTGGGTTCAAAATAAATTCCCATCATCCAAAAGTAGCACTCCACCACTCTATCTCTTGCATAAGGCAGCTTTGTTGGTACGTCTAAGTTTTTCCACCACCTGAATCACAAGTTCGCTTCAAGGTCAATCTTTCCTAAATCTCTATAGAATAATTTACTTGTAAGCATATATCACATACATGGCTAATTTAATTGAACTTACTCAGAGATGCCACGCCACGTAGTTCCTTCTGATGTAGTTGTTGTAACCTGTTGAAATCTAACTTCGCAAACTTTAGTAATGTACTATTGTGTGATTTCTCCCGTTTATAGACTTCAATATAATGCCTTGCCTCTAACCTTGGCAAACATTTGCGGATGGGTCGATTGAGGGCATGGCTAACTTCATTTGCGAGGTCAGAACTTAATTGAGGTAATAGTAATTGGAGGTTTGTGGTGGTGAAATCTATGGCTTCATCTAAGATATCTTCCCCTTGAATGCCAAGATGTGCTGCCTCGTATAAACTAAGCATACCCATTACATCATGAGTTAAGGATTCTTTGAACTTTCCTTCACCATCTTTAAATTTTTCAAAGATATCTGCAAAATAAATAACAAGAGACTCATGGATCGGATATGCCCTGAATTGATATCTTTCATTTTAAATGTTCCCCATGTACCTGTATTTCTTCCAAAAACAGAAAAACAAGATTTCTTACCACATGAAACCTTAATGCCGTGCTGTCTAAGCAAACGAAATTGAAGAGCAACAGTGTAAAGATCATTGCTGTCAGTAACGCAGTGATGATGATGAAGTTTTTCCAATGCGTTTTCTATCTCACTAGTAAAATCATCTCACTAGTAAAATGATAACCCAAAATGCCTCAAGCGGTGGACTGGCATCAATCAAAGGCCCAAATTTGGGCTACCCTCACTTAGCAATCTCCTCACTTCTTTTCTCTTAGTCCTTCAAATTGTTCCTTCACTTGAAAATAATGCCAATTTTTCTTGCTGAATCAAATGAAAAAAACCAATTAATCCCATCTAAAAACGCGAGCCACACCAGGACCCAAAATGTTTACACATAAAACAGCCATGTAGGAAGAAATTAATTACTTAACCTCGGGTCTGAACATGACGTGTGTGTAGAAAAACGATTTCTTCCCAAAATTTTTGGATGATAATTAGCAGAAGATGTCCCAAATTTTTGGATGATAATTAGCAGAAGATCGTCTAACTTCAGATGTAGGAACTGCTGAAACTTGAGCAGACATATTTTGCTTACTTCTATGTTTTATTATATTTTGCTTGTGTTAGCCAAACAGCTCCTACACACCTTAGTATTAATAGGGAAAATGTCTTTAACTTGTGTACTTGTGTTTGAGTATGAATCTAATGAAAATCTTATTCTTGTATTAAACGAAATTAAACTACGGATGAAATTTTTGACTGTCTTCATAATATGGGACACGAGATATAAGAACGATGTGATAATTTGTAAAAAAATGTAAGACATTCATACGCTTAGGACACAGTGCAGTAAATAAGTAATATGTTAATATTTAAATAAATAAATAATCATTTATAATAAATTATAAACACAAAATAAAAAAACTTAATTACTTATTTCAATGACACAAAAACAAATTAAAAAACACAATTCATTTTTTATTGGTAGTAAAAAAAATTTTGGTTGATTAGTTTGGCGTATAGAGTAGTCTCATATACCAGGAACTATGTTGCGTGGAAATGAGATACGATAATTTTTAAAAAAAATAGGACATCCACACGCTTAGGACAAACCATACTAAATAAGTATAATACATTAATATTTCAAATAAATAAACAATCATTTATGATAAATCCTAAACATAAAATAAAGAAATACTTAATTTCTTATTTCAATATAATTAGTTAAATTCTCAAAATTATTATCACTATTGAAAAATACATTAATTGTGTGTGCGCAATTTTTTATGCATGTCGTATTAGAGGTGTCAAAATGGATCATGACACGCGAACACAATTCGCTTAACACGCAAAATAAATGGGTTAAGGTTGATGTTAAATGAGTTCGTGTCATAAACGAGACATCCATTTATGACACGAATATAAACATGTTGTGTCGCGGGTTGACACGCGGGTTAGGCGAGTGATCCGTTTATTTAAGAGTAAAGAGGTAATTTTAACTTTAGATATAAATGATCCCACTAAAACCTATTTAAATTTTATTGTTGTATTACTTTTTTATTTTAATTATAAATCTTGAAGAATTTATATGTGTGAAAATTTATTTTTAAATATGATTGGAATTAAATAGATTAAAAGTGAAAAATACTATAAGCATGTTAAGTGGGTCGTATATAGGTCAACACATCCACTTAACCAATTTATGATATTAAGCGGGTTACACGAGTTGTATGTGGGTCAACACGACACATTTAACCTGTTTATGATATTAAGTGGGTTAAACGTGTCATGTTCGCGTCGCCGTCTAATTTTCGTATTGTTTTTTTGTCGAAATGATAAAAAATTATTTCATCCTTAAATATTGCTTCGCACATCGCGCGGGTTCTAACACCAGTTAACAGATAAGCCAGCATAGTTACAAAATTATATCAAACAAAGTTTTTCGAGATAAAAAAAAAAGTAAGTTAACAGATAAGCCAGCATAGTTACAAAATTATATCAAACAAAGTTTTTCGAGATAAAAAAAAAAGTACTATTAAAACGGGCAGCCTAGCCCTTGCAGGCTCAGTTCAAAATGGACAAAGCCGAAAAAACTCGTTAAAAATGGATCTCTAATATTCAAGTTCGGCCCGGTTCACAGTGGCCCTGTAGACGGACCCGGACATGTCCTTTTTTGAAAAAAAAAAAATTGTGCTTTTTTATTTTATTTTTATTCATTTTTTTTAACCAAAAATCTGATGATATAATAATCTAAATTTAAAATGAACAACAGCAATAAAATAATCCAAATTTAAAACCAACAATATACCAAACTATGAAAATAAAATGAAAGACCCCTATAAAATAGGGGTGATTTGATTGGGGGTTAAAATACCACTTTTGAGTCCAATTGTTTATCAGAAGATGAAGTATGGTAAGAAGCAGGACTGAAGTCCAATATTGATGTAGTTGATGAATATTATAAAGGAAAAGGTAGCTTAAAAAAATATAGATTCAGAATATCTATTAATTTTACTAGGTTTCTTTTTGGAAAATAAAATAACTTTTAATCAACTATTTGAGATGAAGTATAGTTGCAAGATGGACAGTCCGCAGACCCATTCAGCCCAGCCAATACGAGATTTGATAAAAAAAAAGGCCGGATAAAAAAGTCTATTTTAAAAACAGTTCTTAATTTTTTGGTTCAGATTAAAAAAGTACTGGTGATCTCGAGTTATCCTCAAGTTTAGGCAAGTTTAAGCCCGTTTTGACAGTAATAGATAGAAGGAAGCAATATAAATTGACATCTAAAATATAATTAAACCAATATACTAAAGACTTTTGCTTTTAAAACCAACTATTATAGATAAGTTCATCTAATTTTCTATAATAGGCGTACTTAATGGTCGTAAAAAAACAGCACTTTCTTGCATTTCTAATTATGTATTCTATCGACCCGCCACTATCTATCAATCATAGTGCAACATATGGTAAAAGCTACATTGAGATGCTTTTCGGATATGTATCAATTAAAAATTTTATGGCATTATAAGCAATTTGCTACTCCTTTATTTTGTAGTACTAGTGTCACATTAACAATTTTTTTAATTTAAATCAAAAAGATTATTTATAAAAATTGAACTATCACATAGATAAAGATCCATAATGAATCCATTAATATACTTGACCTCTTAAGAAAATACATTAAAATGACTAGCTAGCATTTAATAAAATCCAATGTCTTTTTAGCATACTTGACTTTGGAAAGGATTGTATGGAATGGGAATCAAGTGCAGTTCATTTTTTCTCCTGGCTGTAGCTCCAAAGTTTCAGACATGTCCAACTGATGATCTTCCAGTCCATTGGGCAGTTTCCAATCAAAATGGTATAACAGATTTGCAAGTACAAGCGCAACAACAGCCATATCATATGTCACACCAGGACATCCTTCTTCCAGCACCGAATGGAATACATTCAAAGTCAATTCCTTTAAAATCAATAGAATTGTTCTGAAATCTCTCTGGATAAAATTTCTTAGCTTCATTCCAGTGGCGACTGTCCCTTCCAATTGCCCACGCATTAATAATGACTCTGGTGTTGATTGGTACTTCATACCCATCGATCTTCACTGCCTCTAGGCATTCTCTTGGAGCAAGTAAAGGAGCTGGAGGATGTAATATCCAAGTTTCTTTAATAACTAATTTTAGATACTTCAATTCATCAAATCTTGTTTCATCTATATTTTCTTTTTGATTAAAAACCTGCCTTATCTCTTCCTGCGCCGTTTTTCGTCACTCTTGAATCTTTTAGCATTTCTGACATTGCCCACTCAATTACTGTAGTAGATGTTTCGGTTGCATCCAGGAATATGTCCTAACCAATAATAATTAGACTTTATTATATATAAATATAATTACTCAAGCCTAAGTTCTCAAATAGTAATTGCACTCACCAGCATGACTACTTTTGTATTTTCTATCGTCAGGGGGAATTCAAAGCTATCACCACTCTGAAGATTCAAAAGAACATCCACAAGATCATCTTCTGAGCCCTCAGAATTGCTTCTACCCAATCTCTTATTTTCTCTATGTTCATTAATTATGTTTTCGAGCATTATATCGGCATCTTGATGTAACTTCTCCAATTTACTCCTCATCCCAGTAATTCTATGAAGAAATTTAACTGCAGGGAAAATATAAGCAACACTAAAGCCTTCGAACACCTGTACAATTTTCTGCACAGGTGGGAAGAAAGCTTCATGGCGTTCCGAAGCCTTACCAAATGCAGACCTTAAAGTAATGGCGTTAGATAAAGATAACACCATCTTACTAATATATATTAACTTCCGATAAACTGGAAATTGATCGAATAAAATTTGATGTCTCCTCTTCTCGGATTGCTCTAAATGCTCTTACGCGTTTTGTGCTTAATAGCTCAAGCGTACAAATTTTACGCATCTGTCGCCAACTATCGCCGCAAGGGGCAAAAGCAATGTCTTTGAAGTTATACATGAGAATCTCAGCCGCAAAGAGAAAAGGCCTTTGGAGAAAATAATGTGGTGAGTTTTCATTACATTGGAAACTTGGCCATGCTTGAGATGCATTACAGGGCCGTATTAATTTGTTTGATAAATGTCTTAGGCGGTGATGAGGAAGAGAGTGTTGGAAATACAGCAAGTGGAAGACCTACTTAAGATAAACAAAATAGAACTCTTACTGCTGCACTTAAATTCCGCAGATAGAGTACACACTTTTTAGAGGAAAAACTTGATTCTATTTTTATTAGACAAGGTGGAAAAAACCTCTAATCTACTCTCCTCTTGCAGATAGAGTACACACTTTTTAGAGGAAAAAACTTGATTCTATTTTTATTAGACAAGGGTGAAAAAACCTCTAATCTACTCTTCCTCTTTATGAGTCTGTGTAGGAAGGGAGTCTTTTGTTACAGCAAACATCGGCTACTATTTATGCATAAAGAATAGCTACAAAGTGGACTGCTTCTGTTCCACGTTTTATTTTAGCCGCTACTCCTACTTTCTAGCAAAACTTCAGTTTCAACATAGCAAAAACTCAGTCAACAAAAAACAAAATAACAAAATAACAGCAGCAATTTAAATTTAGTCAGCAAGTTTATAACGGTAACAGAGAGCCGAGGAGCTGATGGATGTTTCCTATTATAGGTAGCTTCCATGGCCCTGGGGCTAATTTTCGGGAGGAGTTTTTGGGTCTTCTTTGTAGAATTAAGATGATTAATAGGAAAGTGAACAAGGTTGAGAAAATAGAAAATGGTTGCAGGTACTCCATTGTAGAGAGACTGTGTTTTTGTTAACACATAAAAGATCAGAGAAACAAAGCAAAAGGAGAAACCAGCAAAAGAACAGAGAAAAATACAAGAGAAGGAAAGAAGAAAATTATTCATTTATTCTTTCTCACGTTTTCCATTTATAACTTCTATTTTTTTTTTTTTTTTGAACTGAGGAAAATTATAGATGAAGTGTTAACGTCTAGTCATAGCTTAACTTTGTACCAAAAAGTTACATAGGTAACGAGAGCCACTCCTTCAATTACAACTAACGACATTAATTTCAGCAAAATATTGTAAAAACCATGAATAGAATATAAATCATATTTTAAGAATATTCAAATATTATTTTATTTGTTTATCGCTGAAACATTTATATTTTTTTTTACTTCACATATCTTATTTAATTAATTAGATATAATATATAAGTTTTAGATTAAAAGAAAATTATAAGATATAAATTTTATTTTATTTGTTTTCGAGATTGGTTTATATATTTCCTACATATACTTGTATTTAATGCCATTTTTTTATTATTCAAAATAATAAGAAAAAGAAGTCTTTTCCCTGCCGTTATCACTAATTTGCTAAATATTATTTAAATGGAAGGGTAATCCTTGCTGTGTAGCCAATAAGATTTATTTCGGTCCATTGAGTCTCTTATATATCCGGAAAAAAAAAAAAAAAAAAATAGTCCGGAAGAAAAAAAAAAAAAAAAGTGAAAAAAAAAAAAAAAAAAGTCTTTTCGTCAGTGGATCAAAGCTTTTTGATTCTAAGGTATTGGCTATTCAACCATTCAAGCTTAATTATACAACTAGTTGTGATTCCGCACTTCACACGCGCGTATGCATATATTAGTTGATAATTACTATCATTATTGAATTACTTTAAAATTTTTTTAATTTGCAATTTTGTATTGAAAATTTATTTATTAATTAACAATAATTAACCTTATATTTAGCCATAATTGATGATTATTTGAAATTTAAAAGATTTAAGTTTTTAAATCCCAATTTAACATAGTAGGAATGATTTCAAAAGTGAAATAAATAATTTTACATTCGTAATAATTTCGATAGATATTAATTTAAAATTGAAATCCATTAATTTGAATGAGTTTTAAATATAAAAGTAAAAAAAATTTAAGTATAATATTTTCGGAATCTAAATTGATTATTTATACATTTACTAAAATTTTATATAATTTATTTATAAATTGATAAATTACAATTTAAAAAAAATAATAATAAGCATAATACTAATTGCAAGTTCCGCTACATGATCATAAAGATACATAAAAAATACATGCCAAATCTACAAATACATCAAAACCACCATATCATGATCATAAAGATAAATATAAATTAAACGCCCAAAACTATAATACCCCGAATTTTTATTTTCGAAATTTTCAAATTTAATTTAAATCAAAAATAAGAAATTTTGACCGTGTGGGCTGTAAATGTAACACAGTCTCAAGAAATTTGACCGTAGTGGGCTGTAAATGTACACACAGTCTTCAATCGAGCCCAAATTTTTGATTGGGTCCAAACCAAAAACAGATTATTCGGGACATTCGATTAGAGAACAACTTTTAAAACAGTTTCGATGAAATAAAATGGGACCTCTAGTTACTAATTTGATTACCAAATGATATGTACTCTAGTTACTAATTGATTACAAATGTATGTATATGTATGTAACTGCAATATAAATTAATTGTCTTAGAATCAAATATCATTACTATTAATATTGCATTATAATTGAGTAAATAGAGAAAATATTGCGAAACCGAACTAAATAAACAAAATAAGTCGAACCAGACCCAAAAATCAAATTGATTTTTTGAAAACCAAATGAATAACCTAAAAATCATGTCAAAAACCTGCAAATCGAGTTAAAATCTAGCTAAGTCGTTGAATCAGACCAATCCGGTTCAGATCGAACCGGAATCATCTAGAAATTGGACATACTTTATTTCTTTTCTTTTCTTCTTCTTCCTTTCCTCTCCTGCGTCTACCTCATCTCCCCCTCCTCTCTCCTTCTTCCTTTTCTTCTTCTTCTTGCTTTCTTTTCTCTCTTTTGCGTCTGGGTTCTCGGCAAGACAGAGATAGAGGCGGAGCAGCAGAATCGCACGCCACCGCCACTCCGCCGCCCATCGCGCCACCACAGCCCCTTTCTGCCTTCTTAGTTAATTAATTTAATTTTATTAATGATAGTTAATTAAATTTAGTTAGTTTAATTTTAATAATTTTAGTTGATTTAGTTAATGTTAATAATATTAGTTAATTAACTTAAGTTTATTATTTGTAGTTAATTAATTTAGTAATATTAGTTAATGAAATAAAATTTTATTATTTGCAATTAATGAGTTTAGTTAAGTTTAGTTAAGTTAGTTTTAGTGAATGAAATTAGTTAATTGTAGTTAATTTATTTAGTTAAGTTAGTGTTAGTAATATTAGTTAATTAAATTAATTTTAGTATTTGTAGTTAATTAATTTAGTAGTAGTAGTTAATGAAATTAATTTTATTATTTGTAGTCAATTAGTTTAGTTAAGTTAGTGTTAGTAATATTAGTTAATTAAATTAATTTTATTTGTAGTTAATTAATTTGGTTAATTTAATTTGGTCATTGTGAATAGTTAATAGCTTTATAATATTAGTGTTGATATAATTAAGGTAGTTTTAAAATAATGTTATTGTAATGTATAAATTGGATTGTGTGGTGATGTTGAGATTGAAGGAGGATGGGAAAATGTTATTTGATTAATTGCCCGATGGATGGGCTGGATGGGCCCGTGTGCGTTTGACAGTTACTTAGATAAACTGTTGATACTTGTTTAACAGCGGGGGGATTAGTTGATATTTTAACAGGTGGATAATCCAAATTTTAGGGGAGATGCTGCCGAAAAGTCGGTAGAAAATAAATTGTATTTTAGAAACTAAATTACTTATATCGATTAAGTTATTCATAGAAATTAAAAATATAGAATAAGATTATGAGAGGGATAAATAAACAAAGAAATAAATAAACAAGAGGAACGAATTTATATATAGTTCAGTGAATTAAATACCGACTAAAGTTATTAACGTTAAGAATATTATATGATCAATCATATTATCATTATTAATATTATTATTATTAATCATATTAAATATTTTGATTAGTAGTATCATAAAATATTAATTACCAAATAATTACCCAAAATAAATTAGACGTATTTACTTAACGAATAAATTAGAAGAAATAAATCAAATAAGACCACTATAGATATACAGTTTCTAGTTTGATAAGTTAGTCGAACCGACGAGGATAACGAAAACAAATAATATGGAATGTAAACTGCATTTTCCAAATTAGAATTCTTATGTAGAATTTCTTATTTATATAGATATTTATAAAGTTTCGGACTTGTGAAGACAGAAAGGCTGGGAGCGAACAATAAGAAAGGCAGTCCTTTGAAGGACAAAAAAAAACTGTTTGAGTAGTGATAGGATAATTCGCCCATCTGCCTGCATTCATGCAATTTCAACGACTAAATGTTATCATGCATTACTGCTATCATTGTGATGCACTATTGTTTGAATATTAAATAATGCTTGGATTACCTGTGATGTGATATTGCTGTGCCTTGTTTGTGTGGAACTTGGGCATGGATGTGGACCACCATGGAATTTCGTTGAAGGATGGTCTATGTGATATGGATCCTGAATACTGATATGTATGAGTTTGACCGAGTCGCCGAGGGTAAATGGGAGATCGGCGCCCCCGTGTGCACCTTGATGATAGGATTATATGGAAAAAACCACAGGATTGCTTATTGTTGTTGCGTACCTGATGATCTAGATTTGATTTAGCCCGCGAGGGTGGCCTTCCTGTTGTGAGCACTTGATGATCTAGATTGGATGGAGACCACCGGGTTGCCTCCTGTTGGCCATTTTTTTTTTTTAAAAAAAAAAGAGAAGGAATTGGAAAAAACCAATGAGAGGACTGGTCCAAGTAGGGATTAACCAGTTGCCGTAGATGGGGGTCGGTTTCCCTGGTGCAATGTATGAGAGGGCGAGCCCATGTGTGAGGACGTCTCAGTTGGGGTTTTACGGGTGGTGCCACTGACTAATTTCCAGTCCGTCGATTGTAGATTATCATGAAGGATATAATTGTTGTGCTGTTGTAATTGCCATTTTGCCTATGACACCCGCATGGATTTCAATAAATTTCATCGTTAACAAATAAAATATTTTAGCATCTGTCATGATCTGTGTGGTAGAGGGGTTATCTAACCCTAACTCATTGAGGTTTTTGGCGCTCACCCTGCCCTACCTATTTTTTTTCCAGGTACATAGAAGGAAAGAAAATTCCTATGGAGTTGAGACATAAGTAATAGAAGACTGTTAACGATGAAATACAATGATGAGTAAATGTACAGGTAGAGTCCATTAATTGGTATTCTGTGTGTTGTAGATGAACTGTATAGTGTACATAATTAATAAATTATTGGACCTGTTCCACAATTATGACTAGTAAATGGAGCTAGTGGGTTGTAGATGAACTGTACTAGTGGTACATAATTGAAATAAATTATTGGACCTGTATCCACAATTATGAATAGTAAATGAGATTTGCATAATATAGACTTACTACGGGCTTCGGGGGCCTTAAGCCCACCCAGGTCCTAGTGCCGGTCCGGTCCATGGAATGGGTCGTGACAAACTAATAATCCCATTAATGGAAATAGTTAAAATGTAGAAAATTTTAAACTTTTTTAAAAAAATGAATAATATATTTAAAAGAAGAGACCAATGCTCCTTTGCCAAGAATACAAAAATATATATGATACAACTTATATGTAGTATTTCTAAAAAAGCTAAAATGTTTATTGAGAGTAAATAATTTAAAATTTTAAAAAATAAAGTGCATTACTATACCATTTAAAAAAAATGAAAACATTTAAATAGTAAACGTAAAAGATACATTAACGGTTGTTAGATGAAATGTTTGTTACTTTACAAATTAGAGTAAATATTTGTTACAAAGAAATGCATTAATATATTAATTGAATAATTCATTGTTACTAAACTTTATCATTTTTTAAAAATTAATAATTAATAATAATTACTTAAAGCCATTAATACATTAAATAATTGAATCAAACCAAACCAAAAATATTAATTCAAAACAAATTCAAACCAAACCAATACATTAATACATTAAATAATCGAATCAAACCAAATTAAAAATACTAACTCAAAATAACTCCAAACTAAACCAATACATTAATATATTGAATAATCAAATCAAACCAAACCAAAAGCATTAACTCAAAATAAATGCAAACCAAGCCAATACATTAATACATTAAATAATCAAATCAAACACTGTCAAGTGAAAGCCTAATTGAAGGAATATGCCACATGTCAAATTTCTAAAAAAAAATGTTTGCTTTATATATATATATACTGATTGTGCTTATTAAATATTTAATTGGACTCATTATATATTTTAACTTATGAAATTATGTTGATTAAACACTTATTGAATATTTAAAAATTGTGAAAAATTATTATTTCAAAAATTGTACTAACAGAGTATCAAATCAATATTTTACATGCAAAAATTAAAAACTTTAAAAGTTAGTTGTTGCTAGTACAAGGAATTACGAATTAGGACAAAAAATGAAGTTCAAATGCCACATTTTCTTATCGCGTTAAATTGTGTATTTCACCGATGTTTTTAGTATATCGGCTCGGTGTACATATTGGCCCAAATCTATGTGCATCTACATAGAAAATGACTTATTTACTCGGTTTACATGCTCATCCATTAGATGAATTAATAAAAAATAATTTGTTTTGGAAATAAGTGTGTTTCTGACGTTTATTTAATAAAAAAAATTGTTAAATAAGAAAAGTTTTAAAAAATCTCTATTGTTGTCTGATTTGAGTATCTTTTAAGCTTTTGCTTTCTAGTCTTGTCAAAATATAATATTTTAAAGAAAAAGAGGTAGAAGAAGGAGGAGGAGATGGAGAAGAAGAGAGAAAAGCATAAAACAAGCAAACTACTTTATACTTATTCTAGAAATATGAGCCTTTGCAGATGAATTCTTATTTATACATATCTTTCATCTCTAATGTTTAGATATCTCTATCTCAGGCTCAACAACAACAAAGGATCTCTCTTGTTTCTTTGCATCACTATCTTCATCTTCCTTAGATTTTCCATGGCTATGATATATTACAGCAATAGCCTTAGTATCAAAATCCTTTGCAAAATGATCCATTTCATAATTACTATTATTACCACCTGAATCTTCTTCAATAAATAGATCGCCGATCGCTTTCGGTATCGGCTGCTCTTTCATTATGCTCTTCCAGTACTCTTCTGGTACCTTTCTTGCATAGCTGAGCTCGATCACAAACTATACCAAATAGGAATAAGCACATTAAATCGCAAAATAAAATAATTATTCATCGTAATTTTCTAATATTTCACTCGAATATACATTAGAGGAGCTATAAAATAAAATAGTTCTCTCTCTTTTTTTCGATAAATCGCGAAATCAATCTTTTAAAATAAATTGTCTAAATTAATTAATTAAATAAATTTAATATAATCCACTAATTGCAAAATGGAAAAAAAAATTAAATAAGATTAGGGATTCTTGGTTATGGAAGACTTACAGAAAAAAGAAAGACGAGAAGAAAAAAAGCAGTTGTGAGCTTCATGTCTTTGGTAGTTGTACTTTGTACTATTGTGTTGTAAGGTAGGCTTCTCAAAACTCTTGATTCTATGCCATTATTTATAGAAGAAATACAAGGACAAGAAAGTGATTTCAAAAATAATTATTATTATATATTTTCTTGCCCACCAGAGAAGAGAAATTAAAATTTATTTTCAATGTTATATAATTATTAATTTCTTTTGAAGGAGACACTTTCTAATTATAAATATATATATTTCTTGTTATATATATTGTTCTTGTTTTTCAAAAAAAAAAAAAAAAAAAAAAAAAAAAAATATATATATATATATATTATATAATATTATATATATATATATCATATATATTTCTGTTGGCCACTAAAGAGGAGAATTTTTTTTTTTTTTCTTTGCAATGTTATATATAATAATTTCCTGTTTTGATGAGACAATATTCTGATAAATAATACATTGGACAGATTGTTTTTTTTTTTTTTGCAATGTTATATAATAATTTCCTTTTGATGAGACAATTTCTGATAAATAATAAATTGGAAGATTGTTTTGTGAGTCAACTTGTTGAAGGGATGCCTATCTAAATAATTAAAAAGAGAGCCTGTACTGATCTCATGGTCGGTGGTGGTATGCCATTGGATTTCTTAGCATCTAAAAAAGTAAAATTCCAAAATTAAATAGCAGTATCATTATTTCCGCTTTTTTCTTAAAAATAACTGGCCTTTGAAAAATATTTTCTTCTTACAGAAAAAAATATTTTTTAAATAAGTTATTTTTTTGTTGTTTAGCTGCAACGGTGAAAATTAGTTCAAAATATGAAAAATTTTAATTTATATACGATAAGAATATTAAAATTATAGAATTTCAACTTTTAAAAATTAAATATAAGAATATATACATATAAATTATGGTTGTCATGGTAATTCTGCCGACTATTATTGATTTGTGTTGAATTGTATATTAAGAAATGCGTGTTTATAATATTTTATCAATATTAGACCCTAATTCATAATTTTTTTATTTTTTTATATGAATGAGAAGATTGAATTATATATATATTAGACCCTAATTCTATTGTTTTTTATTATTTATATTTTGGCCCCCTAAGGCTTACCTTATATACATATATATATATATAGACTAAATCATTAAAAATACCTCAAACTTAGCAAGTAATTTTTAATTATATAATAAATTTAACCTTTTTTTCTTATAATAGTATGAATTTTAATTTTAATTATAATAGCATCGTAATTTTAAATTGTATAAATTGTTTAAGATGAATAAATTATTTTTTATTTTAACATTTAATATAAATAAATATAAATAATTATTTATTTATAAGCAGTGACGGTGGAAAATGAGTTTAATTTGGAGAAAATATTAAACTGCGTCCCATAAAAAATAATATTTCTGTGTACAAATTTTCAGTACAAGTGAAGGACTGTTTTGATTTAATAATTGAAATATGCATAATATTCACGTGCACACAAATCATTTATGTATCAAACGACACTAATTTGACTGCTAAATGCTATACAAGTGGCTATTTAAGCACTTATAATAATCAACCACAAATAGCTTATATTTTAATATAACCAATTTCAGAAATCTGAAGATCATTGTATTAATTTAGGGTTTGCTACCCTTGACCTTATTAATCTAGTAAAACAATTAATTAAGTAGCTAAATAGTGTAAAGAGAAATTAATTATTATTAAATTAAATTAATCATGGGGTTCAATACAATTTTAAGAATTGAAAATTTGGAAATTTAATAGTATAATAATGTGAGAATACACGCTGTGACTTTTAGTGTAACTACAAATTACCTGTATATATCAAAATTTCCTGCTTTCCAAGCTCGTAAATATGAATAATTCTTATATTAAATTAGCCATTATTATAAATAGTTAAAAATGAGAAAAAAAAATCATATATTTGCAAGTATATTTATAAATAAAGGTCAATGATACAGTTTAATATCTCTAATAGAAATTAAATTTTAAATTAGAAGTTGACACTTGATTATATAAAAGATGACATATTTCAAAAAAATTAATATAAAATCTTCTAAACAGAAGAATAGTACAAGTCAATGTTCTTACAAATATTTCCTAACACATACATTTAATATTATCTTACTGAAATTATTTGGCTGGTGACACAATTCTGAATTTTCAAAATTCAAAGTAATATATGTATATGTATTTTTTTTTTATTCACAGCAAGATTTGATGAGACAAAATAACATTACGGCTATGCAAAAGAAGTACCCCTCTCCTTTTAACTCATCAAATTAGTGAAAATTCTAGTAGTCGAGATGATGAAAACTAAATAAGTGAGATGAATAACCGGACCACCGCTGATTTGCAAGGCTATATACTATTTTAATATTATTATTTTCGTAAGTTGGGTCTACTGTTACAGACCATGCAGGATGGGGCATTGACTTTGGGACAAGATTGCAAAATATGAATTGGAAAAGGGACAATTGAGGAGGTTGGATTTGATTCTTTAGCCCAAAAAAGCTACGGCTGTATTGGCACTTTCTACTAAAGTCAACTTCAATATTGTCTATTGTCTATACATCATAACATGTTCAATAGTGCTTTAAAAAGATGATTGTCTACTTCTACCTTTCCATTTATTTATTTATTTATAAAATATTTTTGTTAGTTTCCACTTGTTCATGCATTGTAATCTTAACCACCCACCGGTTCTAATTTGAAACTAATTTACAATTGGGGACTTTAAGTCAAAAGTTCTATTTAGAAATTAGAAATTAGATTTAGCTTTTAAATCCAGTTCATATCTAATTTCAATTTTGAGTTGTACCAATTTAGATTTTTTTTTCTTAAAGAAAAATTTGACCGTATGTTTTATATATAGAGAGTTTAAATTAATACTATTCAAAATTATTAATTTAGGCATCGATTGGTTCAAATTCTCCTAGTTCAAAAGAAGTACAATAAGACTATGTTTGGTTGATATAGTGATTTCTCGGAAAATAAAGTTGTGTTAATGAAATTTTTACTTATAAAATGTCAATAATATTTCCACTATGAATTTGAGTATATTAATTGAAATTCATTGAAGAAAACTTACCAAGCATATTTTATATATATATCAATTCACATTATAATCAATGTACAATTTTTTTTTGTTTACATAATAACAAACAAAATGTTATCATAATATTTAACATTCAAAATATCACAACTTTGTTGATAAGAAAAATAAATTTGTTGAGATCGGAAGTGCACTTCCTTGGCTCAAGGGAAGGAAGTATAAGTTTTTGTATGGTTAGAAAATTCAGCACTTCAACTTTCCGGAAAGTTCTTTATTTTTAAAACCAAACATGATCAAATTCATCACTTTCCGAGAAGTTTAAGCTCCTAAGTTCAGTCCCCCAACCAAACGAGGCCTACATCAATTTGAATTCTTAATACAAAAGAACCAAACTTTAACTTGGTCTCCTTGATTTCTAATTCTGACTTTGACTAAAACCTAATTTGAATCTAGTAGAGTTCAGGTATAAATATTGTGGTTGGCCAGGCACAAAGCATGTGTTTGTTTTTCAAAAGTCTAGGATATAAAATTTCCCATTGTCTGCCAAAAGTAAACCTACTTAGTCATCTGTTCATAGTTCTGGTGTCCTGATTCGCACATGGTTTGTAAATAATTAATGTACTAAAATAACATTTCTGTGTGCTTTGCAAATTAATTAAAAATAAGTTTTGGTTATAATTACAACCTCATTCCTATAATTTTTGAAATATGTTGATTACTTTCATGCTGTATACGAGAAAAGAAAAGTGATAATATAATTTGAGCTTATTAATTTTACTTTTTTTTTAAAAAAAAAATCAGCGAATTAAACCATTCATTGTGTAAATATATCGATACAAATCAATATCCATGTATAGATATAACTATATAGACAAATATAAAATATATGAATAAAAACATAAAAATATAAAATATAAATATAGATATAAGTATAGGTTTAGGTGTAAGATATATAAATATATGGGTATATATAAACAGATATAGAATATATACATATGGGTATAAAATATAAATATATAGATATATCAAATAATGAAATAATTAAAATTTCAAATATTAAAAATTAAAAATAAATAAATATAAGATATATCAAATAATGAAATAATTAAAAATTGCAAATATAAAAATTAAAAAAATAAATAATAAATTAAAAATTAAAGTTTTCATAATTTTTCAATATTTTAATAGTATATAACTAATATATTATATTTTTGAAGTCATAATTATAATAAACATATGTTAATTTTTAAACTTAAAAAAACACATCAATAGTCCAACTAAAATATAAAAATAAAGAAAAATAAGAAAAATACAATACTTAATAAAGAGAGAATCAAATTTTTTTTAAAAAAAATCTCTAAAAAATAGGAAAATAATTAACTTTTTTTCCAAGAAAGAATTCAATTCAATCTAGTTTTGTTAATATAAGTTATAATTTCCTTATTGCAATTAATCATAATTATTAATCAATATCCACAAATCTTTGATTCCAAAAAAGGAAGTGCAAGTTAGTATTTGGTTATCCATCAAAATTATTTGGGTCCCTCACAAGATGTGTCAAACTGTCGATCGCGTGGCCATGGTGGAAGGTGATAAGTTCGTTGCAATTCTATCCTAAGAAAACAAAAACACACAACATCCATTCAAATTGTCAACCGAAAACAGGAAGTAAAAAATAAAATAAAATAAAAAAGAGAAAATCCACGTTATGATGATGAATGTGATTGACACGTTTTAATATACTGATGAGAACCATATTTGGATGGATAATGTGTGTGATTGGTTTTGAAGTTCTTACTTAATTTTACTTAATTTCGGTATGATTATCTACAAATTTACTTAATTTCTTAAATTGTCTGATTAGATAAACTCTTTGAATCTTTCATAAGTGGCATGATTATCTATAAATTTACTTAATTTCTTAAATTGTCTGATTAGATAAACTCTTTGAATCTTTCATACGTTGTATGATTACTACAAATTTTGCAGAGTGCATTTCCAACTAAAGAAAAAGATAAGTCCACACAAAATAGAGACTCTATCATACTCTCTTGAAAATATATACTCCACATGTATTAAAGACAATCCACAAAATTGGAAAAAAGTAAAAGAAAACATAAATTAAATCAAAGTTTTATATCAAATGTATACAAAATCTTGAATTTGTTTAATGAAAAGATACAAAAGAGAAAAAAAAAATATGAGAAGGAAGAGAGACTACTACTACAGTTATAAACAAGCCGAGCTGAATTCTAGTAAGTTTAAACTTGATTTGATAATCACAAACGAAATAAATTCAAACTTAAAATCTACCAATACAATAAAAACCTATTGATCAAACCAAATTTACAATAATTTGATATATGTTTAATTAATTTTGATTTATTGATATAGAAAAATAATCTCTTAAACAACGTAAATTGACTCAAAGACATTATTTAAATTCACATATATAATATTTTTTTTTGAATTTGACACCATTAAAAAGTACTTCGAGAATCACATTTTTTAATATTCACTTTTTTTAATATATATAATATATATATATTTATATTATTATACTAATATACATATATATACATATACACAAAACGCATCCTTGTTAAGAAGATGCATGAAGCAAAGGATCTTTGTAGATTTGTACTACATGCAATGCAAGGCACTATAAGATGTTTTTTCTTTGCACGTGTTTTTCTTTACACCAAAAACAAAAGTACAAGGCACTAAAAAGATGTTGCTCTATGCACATGTTTTTCTTTGTCTATGTTCATTTATTCTATCCAACCCATTATTTGTCAAAGTCAGCAACCTATCTTCGTCTTTTCTCTTGTATTATTTTGCACTAGAAAAGAAAGACCTCAACCCTACTCCTTTAGTTGGGTGGTTCATGGCATACTATTGAAGTTGATACCAATGCCACTAAGAAGAATCAAATCTAATATACCCAAAAAAAAATCAAATCTACTCCAACGCACAACAACTTCTACATCTAGTGTTGCTTTAATAATTTCTAACAAGGAAGTCAAAAAGGGATTGCACTACTATGTCTAAGTTCATATGGATGTTTCCGTTGGGGTGTGCAGGCCCGTGTCCGTTTTTGCAATTCACATTAAGTTTTATTAATTCTCACTCGCTCTCACAGGCAAAAGAGCCAATCCAAGGGAAATTTGCATTGCGAATGATCAAACTTATATCTTCAGTTGTGTGATCAACTCTACAAATGCTCTGAGTTATTATTTTATAATAATATTATTAAATATGCTCACATATTTATTTTTGAATATGCACATACGATTCTTTATTAATTGCAAGTGTGTTTCTATATTTAGGATTAGAGTGACATTTAGATAAAGTCATCCAATTCGAATATCTGACCGTACAAGTAAAATTTACTCGGTATATATATACCATTTTCTTCTAATCCAATCGTCTAAATTTAATTTTATTATCTAGTTAAAGACGAGTCTTTCATATAAAAGCTATAAAAAATGGTAAACTCGAACTTGCAAAATTCAACTCCTGCCTCAGCAGCCATCATTTAATTTTATTTAATTTAGAATTTAATCTTTACCAAAATAAAAATTGAAGGATTTTATATCAACAAATAAAATAATAAAACTTAACAAAAATTCAAGGAGATAAATCTTGTTTTTACCTTAAATTAGTTAGCATTGTTCAAAAAGGTTATTCCTAACATGGAGTTCACACTATTTTTTGAATTCATTTAGTGTCTATTCAGCAAAATTTGGTAGCTGTTAGCTGTTTAATAGCGTTACATGAGTTAACTTTTTATAAAACGTTACCATAATTTCTAAAAATTAGTTTATCCCCTATATTAGCGAACACTATAAAAAATTTTTTTGCCAACATAGCCTTAACCTCCAACAATATAAAAAAACAAAATGATTTATATTTATATTACATATAAGTCTAACAATTTAAATTAAAAAAGATAAACAATTAATCAAGCAGCTAGTAATTCATTATACATCATATAGTTGCATTTGCATAGCCATGTTGCAAGCCCTGCAACTTAATTTTATCAATCAAGTTGTTTCACTTTTTTTTAACACAAATCAATTCTCAAAAATACTTTTATAAGTTTGACTTATATAAATATATAAATGTATTAAATATGGGCTAAATGCCAAATTATGCTTATTCATGAAAGATATTTATATAAGTGCATTGTAAGTGCTATCTGCAGACAAGTTGACTCCTACACAGTCTGATGATGTCTCAGATACATATATTTACATATATTTTATTCAATTAAAATACCCCACAATATAATTTATTAAGTGCAATATTATATTTTTTTTTTCCTTCAGTTCTTAAATACTTTAATTGTTAAGAGCTAGCAGAGGAAAAAGGAAAACAAAAAAAGCCCCCCAAGCAGAAATGGCAATCTATTTTTATTCCTGGAGAATTTTCCTTTGTGTTCTTCTTCTTTTACTGGTAATTAATCATTTCCCTTCTCTTTGATTTTTTATAACAATGGTATTATAAGTTAATCACCCATTTAAGTTTTTATCAAGATTTGCATATATCTATGCTTCTTTCTGCAGTTTTTCCTCTCCAAGACTATATATTTATTTGTACAGTAAATACAGAGATCCATGCTTATTTATGTAATTTCTTTCTCTTTGAATAGAAAAAGATCTTTTTTTTTTTTTTTTTTTGATCTTTTTTTTTTTTTTTCTTTTGTTATAAATTTCTTTCTTAACACTTATTTTTCCATCTGTTGTTTATATTCTGCAGAGAAAAAGATTTTTTTTTTTTTTTTTTTGTATAAATTTCTTTCTTAAAACTTATTTTTCCATTGTTGTATTATATTCTGCAGATTTCCAGAGGCATGAGTAGCAGCGCAAGGAAGATGAGTCAGTCAATATTGGACAATGGATTTCAAGAAAGCTCAAAAGATAGCCATTTATTAATCAAGAATGGCCATTTTGATCACCAAATGCATCAAATGGACCCTTCTCTCAATGTTTTCTTCACCATAAATGACTTAAAACCCGGAAAGATAATTCCAATCTATTTCCCTAAAAAACACCCTTCAATTTCTCCTCACTTGCTATCTAGAGAAGAAACCAATTCAATTCCTTTCTCTTTAACCCAACTTTCTTATCTTCTCGAACTTTTCTCTTTCTCCAAAGATTCTCCACAGGCCAAAGCCATGGAATATACTCTGAAACAATGTGAAACTGAACCAGTTGAAGGTGAGACCAAATACTGTGCTACTTCTTTAGAATCCATGCTTGATTTTGTAGTTTCAGTTTTTGGATCTGATACCAAATTCAAAGCTTTAACTACTAATTATCTGAAGAGCCAAGTTGTTAAAGTAGCATTGCAAAATTACACCATTGTAGAAGAGCCTAAGGAGATTTTGGCAGAAAGAATTGTAGCATGTCATGTAATGCCTTACCCTTTTGTGGTTTACTATTGCCATAGTAGAGAAGGTGGGAATAGGCTGTTTGAGATGTTAGTTGGTGGAGAAGATGGAGAAACAGTAGAAGCTGCAGCTATTTGTCATATGGACACATCTCAATGGGATAAAGATCATGTGTCGTTTCGTCTGCTCAATATCAAGCCTGGAACTTCCCCAGTTTGCCATTTTCTCCCAGCTGACAACGTCGTTTGGGTGCCTTTGCCTGTCGTATACTAATCTACTAGTCGAATACCTGTATTGTAGTGCATAGGATTAGAGATTCAATCTCTGACATTATTATTATCTCTTTTGAATTTAGCTGTGTTTAAGTATATGTTGTTAGTGATGTAAATTGGTCGAGCCGAGCTCAGCTAAGCATCGATTTGTTTGGATTGCTTCAATAACATGTGATTAGAGCTCGGGTTTGAAGCTCAAAATTTTGTTCAAATATTTTATGGAACTGTCAAATCAAAGAAATGAAACCTGCATTTTCTTTTTTTTCTACCTTCTCTAATTAAATGTTGGAAAAACTTTCACATAATTCAAACCTGTCCACGAGCTGTTCAATATTATTCAAATTTAAATGACAAGTTCGACTGCTTAAAAATTCAGAAAACCTCAATTTTCTCACTAATAAGAGTAAATGGTATGTTGCTTTGCAACCTCATTGAAAAAGTTCAATAAAATTCCCATGAAATTAAAAGAGTTCAACTGAGCTTTTATCAAATCGAAATAGAGCTAAATTGGAGTAGTTTGGATTGTCTACCATACCAAGTATTTTTAATATTGTTAAAATTATTGATTATAATGTTGTTCTGAATATATTTCTAATATTATTAGAATTATTGATTATAATTTTTTTTAGAAAAGATAAAAGAAATATTTCATTTATTAAGAACAAAGAATAAAAATGAATTGTACAAATTAAAATTATTATATTTTTACATAACTGGAATCAATCTCTATATAAAAAAAAACAATCTAATAGAAAATTTAAAAGATTTAATATAATTGATTTTCATCGCACTCCGTTCGATAATCATGCAATCAATATTCGACTTCTTTTTCTTTCAACAGGCCGCATCAGATTACCTCGAAGCTCAGATCCTTCCTGGAGAAACGTTTAATAGTGTATTTATTGGTATATGGTATTATCCCTAATAGCTCTTGGGGGTGGGGCAGTGCAAAACAACATAAAACATTTCAGATTTGTGCGGAAATCTAACTGAAAACGACATCCTGATATGTCGTTGCTGGGCTCGGGGTCGTTTATCTTATCCCCTCTCTCTGAGATGATCGTATACTGAACTTCTTGTCGTTCAACTTCAAACGAACAAAAAAAATCCAAAACCCTCTGCTCTCCAGTCTTCAACCCTTCTCTCTCCCTCGCCAAATTCAAAGCAGCGAAATGGTAGCATCAGCTATATCAGCTCCTGTTAGCTTCTCCATCTATTCTCGCCAAAAAACTGCCTCCATTTCTTCATTATCTCACAGGTATATATCTATAAATATGGTTAATTGAAATTGTCTATCTTTATAACTAATGTTATCGATTTTCTTATATTTGCAGAAACTCAGCGAGGTTTATTGTTTCCTCGTTGCCTTCCCCTTACAGTGATTCTTCACCTAACGGTGAGTTTTCTATGAATAAGTTTATGAAATTGTGAAGCTATTTGGGTTCTACATGATTGACCCAATTCATTTTTAAGTTTAATTAGTATTAGTTCGTGCTGGATAGTTCAAATCCCTAATTCAAGTTTTAGCTGGGTTTACTCTTAAAACTTAAAACTTTTGTTTATACATAGATAAGTATATGGTTGCATACGTATAATTGAATTAGTATGTGTAATTGTACTGTGGTGGTCAGGACTATCGAGTAGATCTTTTGGGTTGCCTCTACGGATTGATGACAAAGATTTTCGTAATGCTAATCCAAGGTTTATTTGCTTCCACCTTTTACTTTAAAGTATTCATTTTTCCAAGATTTCACTAGTTTGTTTTGTGTATTTCTCCTTGGCTCTTACAGGGTAGCGTTTTCCAGCAGATACACTTTCTTTTTTAATCAATGTTTTTACTTGGAGAAAAAGGGTTTTATTGTGAGAAATGAAACTTAAAAAAAAGGCAAATTTCTACATCAGAGATAAATCATACATTTTTGAACAACCTTTATAACATGCACTCGCATTTTTAACTAGCTAACACAAAATTCTTTCGGATGCACTTACGTTCAAGAGGAATAACTTTCAGTTTCCCGCAAAAAGATTTTTAGGATACTCCTGTTGCTTTTGATTGATTGAAAGAATATGTTTCTTTTGAATAAGACATTGTTGTTTAGAGATGAGAATCCTTTTTTCAAAATTGTGTTAACTAGTTTAAATGGATGAATTACCCTGTGTCAATGTGAAAGATGTACCATTTTTGTATTAGAACTTGTATCTGAATGGTATCTTTGGGTAGAGAATTTGGAGACAGGTTGTGAAAATGAATTCTTTTGAAAAGGGACGTTAAAATTTCACTTGGTAAGCCACCTAATGGTATCATGGCACTCATGTGAGTCCTGATTGTGTTATTCGTTATATGTACCCCTTTTTAGATGCGTTTGCACAAGACATAGAACTGTGTAATTGATATTTAAAATCTTCTTCAATTTTAAATGTTGGAACTGCCTCAAGTCTGTCTCAAGATAACATTGTCATCATTTTCTCCATGGAAAAATCATGGGTTGGCGTCATGTTTCCTAAGTTCTTTCTTGGTTTCTGCTTTTCTGATAATAATAAGGTATCGGACTGTGAGTTCATAGCATTTTTTACATACAGTTATGATACAATTGTAGCCAAAAAGGGAAATCCACCCATCATGCCAGCAGTCATGACTCCAGGAGGACCTTTGGACCTGTCATCTGTATTATTTAGGAATCGCATAATCTTCATTGGACAGCCAATCAATTCACAGGTGGCTCAGCGAGTTATATCGCAGCTAGTGACTTTAGCAACTGTTGATGAAAATGCAGATATCCTGGTGTGGTTATGTTCTTCGCTTACAACTTTTGTTTTCCACTTCTGCAATCAGCTTATGGGGCTGCTGGAACTATATATTAGAGTTTTGTGTTTATGACTCTGTCCTGAAATTGTCAGATGTATCTGAACTGCCCTGGCGGAAGCACGTACTCTGTTTTGGCAATTTATGATTGCATGTCCTGGGTAATTTTAAATTTTGGATTAGTACTGGATCTTTCTTTTTCTTTTTATTTTCTTATTCCGTGGAAAACATAGGCATCTTAGCAACACTGAAGCTGTAATTTTTAATATAATTAGGAGTCTTTTTATATGCCTGTGATTTCCCCTTGTAGGAGAAACATCACCTGAAGCGATAGGTCATCTCATCTCTCAGAAAAAAAAAAAAAAAAAAAAAAAAAAAAAAAAAAAAAATGTAGGAAAACATCACCTGAGCGATAGGTCATCTCATCTCTCAGAAAAAAAAAAAAAAAAAAAAAAAAAAAAAAAAAAAAAAAAAAAAAAAAAAAAAAAAAAAGAAGAATGAAAGTTGTGCCTATTATGATACCTGAAGCAAATGGCCTTCGGTCTTAATAAATTTGCATCTGATCCTGCAAAATGTTCTGAAACTTTTCATGCATATTCATATGCATAATATTTTCATTGTGTATAACTTTTGTTTGTTTGATGTGTTCAAGCACTAATAAATCCTAATGTTCTCAGATAAAGCCAAAAGTTGGCACTGTATGTTTTGGAGTAGCTGCAAGCCAAGGAGCTCTTCTTCTTGCTGGCGGAGAAAAGGGGATGCGGTATGCGATGCCTAATGCACGTATTATGATACATCAACCTCAGGGTGGATGTGGGGTAAGGTTCACTTACAAACTAGTACTCTGTGGAAGAGAAAATTGCTTGTGTGAAGATAAGGAGATTTGGAAAATCAGAAATACCTCTTGCTGTTCTAGCACGAAGTATAATGATTACTTAATATTTCAGACTGGAATTTAGTAACTTCTGTCTCCAATATATGAGATAATATTTTTATTTTGATATTATCTCATTCATTAGAAATATAAGCATTTCATTGCAGTCACTGAAATTTGTTTATATTGTAATTAATGCTTTTAAAATATTGGGTGTTTGGACTATTAGCAATACAGTACATGAGAATCTAGAAATCCTCATCACTTGTCAGTCTTTCATACAGTAATTAGTCAATTTTTTTGTCAAAAGCCATTGATGTAATTGTATATTACTTGCTTGTAGGGTCATGTGGAAGATGTGAGACGCCAAGTAAATGAAGCAGTTCAATCTCGACATGTTAGTATCTTTTTGACTTTGCCCAATTGCAACCTGGTTGACTTGCCAGCAAACTGAAAATCATTTGAAAACCAGGACTTGAGTTCATCTTAAGCTTTGAACACAGCCGGCCAGTCTGTTTTTCAAAAATGGCATTTCAAGTTTACATAATGACTCTTTTCCTTTTCCTAATTCTTTTTGGTCCTATTAACTAAACACCTTGAACCATGTTCTACAGTAGTTTGGGATTAAAATGTCTCCATATGTTTATCATTTTCAGCTGATTAGTGCTATCGTTTGGCATTAAATGCTTTATCTTTGTGGTCTTATTTTCCTAGTGTTTTGTTGCAGAAAATTGACAAAATGTACACTGCATTCACTGGCCAACCTCTCGAGAAAGTACAAGAATACACTGAGAGAGATCGTTTCTTATCTACTTCAGAGGTTTGTTACCTCAACTTGTTTCTTTCTGTATGTGTGAAGTTGGTATTTAATATTAGTAGTGTTCTCGGATTAATTGATGTTCAAATCTTGATCCCAACAACCACCATCCCCACTCTCAGAGTTTATAGTCAGTAAAGAGAAAAACGGAGTAAGAGGGGGAACGAGAACAGATAGTCTTCATAAAACAGAAAACTTAGTTGTTGTTCACAATATTTATTTGAATGAGATGTTCAAGAAAGAATGGCGTTATGATGAAACTGGAAAAAAAAAAAAAATGTCATTGCCTAGTCATTGATAGCAGTTGGTGCTCTTTCATGAAAGTGCAATCTTGCGGCTGTTTTCTCATGAGCTGATTCAAATTTTCTGATCCCAGATTTTTACTCAACCAAACACTTATTAATTATGATGCTGCATTTTTATTGCAGGCTATGGAATTTGGGCTCATCGATGGTATCCTGGAAACCGAATACTAAACTAGGGTTTGCTCATGTTAGATCACTGGATACTGTTGGGAATATAGACATTCTGTTCTTAATTGTAAGATTAGATTATCATCCATTCTGATTTGTATTTGTAATCATATGTTTTCCATAATTTTGCTTCAAAATTCCAATACTAATAATTAAGAATTTTGATTTTTACAATTAAACCCAAATTAACTTTTTATTCATTATTGAGGTGGACAAAAATGAACATCAAATGTTGGATTGAAACATTGTGATCCCAAATGAGCTATAAGATTGAAGGATTATGAAGATTGAGAGGCATTTTTTTAGCTTTTTTAAAGTAGATGTATTTTCACAATGCCAAACCACTTATGGGAGATGGAGAGAGAGAACAATGGAGAGGCTTTATTATAAGTAATTTAGCTGAATATTAGGCAACAACGATCTGCTCAAGTAAATCGATTATCTGCTGAATAAGCATGATTACATGTTATATAATAAGAGTACAAGAATGAATCGCAGAGAGAAATATACTCTCAAGAACATCTCTTTCAACCAGTTTCCAATATAACAATCTCTGAAGGTAGAAAATTCATGTACCTGTAAAGGAACAATTAGACAGCCATAGAGAGCAACATTTTTAGAATGAAATTACTGTTCACCACCATCACTTCCTAAAACCATTAATAACTAGCATTTTTAGTTGTCTTTTGAATCTAATAGTCAATGTGATCTTTAACTTGAAAAATATATCTTCAGGTACCCAAGAAACCGAAAATAAATTGATGCAATTTCAATTTCAGCATGTCATTTGGAATGAGAATAAATTTTATTTGTGTAGTTTGCTAGAGAGTTGGATCACTAGTTGGGTTGCCATCACAAACAAGGAAAAGACTTACCATAGTTTTGGTACACCATTGTGTACTTGTAAATGGCCTTTATAAGGGAACCATAGCTCATGAACTTCAGGGGTCCCATATGCCTGGAACACAAAATACAGCAAAATTCAGCCAAACAAAAGAAAACTTCTGCAATTGCATAAAAGTGAAGTTGCAGAATATGAATACAAGATAAAGGGAAAGCTCCTCAAAGACTACTTTTTCTTCTCATTTGATAATAATGAAGGCGTTCAAGTAAAGAGTTTAGCATTTGATCAATATGAAGCAATAACTAACCATATACGTCTTTAGTGATCACGCTACTTATTCTCTCTCCCCCTCTCCAAACACATACACAAGCATGCACATGCACAAAGTTTATGAGCCAAAATATGAAAACGAATATCCAATATACAAATTTTAGATTTGAATGTAATTCGCAAAAAGGACTAATTATCAAGTTTTAAACCTTATCACTGCCACAAATCAGCCTAAGTTGACAATGTTAATAAGTAGAAACACATTAAAGCAACTTTCCAAGGAGCACAATCTGATCTTAGTAAATAATTTCATATGCCCAGCCAATTTATGAAGACTGCAAGCCGAAATTAATAATTTTGATCATCATTGAAATCCCCTAACAAAAGAAGAAATAAAATGAAATCCAAATTTTTAAGAGCTGATTTTGTATTGTCAATTAGTGCAATTCTGTTGACTATTAGAAAGTACTTCCTCACATGATCACATCTGTTTTTTACTCTCTAAAACCACTCAAAACATAGGGGAACATGAAAGAAAACTTATATTCATTGAAAAATTGAAACAGGCACCAATATGGAAGTTTCACTCTGGTCATTGAGTGAATGGCATGAAGTATTTTGTCACAATATGAAAGCATCACCCCCATCTTGAAAACTGGCAGTATAATTTGAAATAGTTATCATTCCCCAGAGTTTGCTACAGAAATGGAACCACAGGGAAAATTCATTCAACTAACTGGAGCACATAATTCAGTCAGAAAACTTACACTATCTCAGTATATCGAATTCTCCATGCAGGGAAACCTAGATGGCATCTCACGGGGCCATAAACTAATAGCAGGTCAGGTTCTGGCCCTCTATGACCTGATACTAGTAGAACATCAATTCACAATCTAAGTATAAAATTCAGAATTGAAAGGAAATCAATCTCTTAAACATTCACCAGATCTAAGAAGTTCGACAAACCTAATGCTTTTAGTGCCTCATCCATATGAGCTTCTGTAAAGAATTGTTCTTCCAGATCTGCACCACCAGTGTTAGCCAACTTTAAGTACTTCATAAATAGTAGGTTAGCTGCCCTGGTTATTGCTTCCTTTCCGTCAGAGATAGAAACAAATTCCAGAGTCATATGATTCTGGTCCAGTGGCAAATCTTTTTCAATTGCTTCCTGCAAAACCAGATGGCAGGGGTGTGTATTGAAAGAGCCTACTGGGATTGATAACAGGCGACCTATCCTGCTTATGAATGGCATTCAACTAAAAGATACAGATATTATCATATAGACAAAAGATACTACCTCAAGTAGAATTGCATTTTCCAAATTCTTTATAATGGATTGCTTGGATTTCTTAAGAACTCCTATAAGAGAAAAGAAGTTCAAAAACACACTATATTCAGTTGAAAGGTCTGAATGAAACTCATGGCATAAGCAAAAGTAACATCATGTGCAATAGTAGAAGAATGTCCTCAACTGCCAAGTTTCATGGGTATTCAGCATTCTTACCTTCGGAATCATATAGACATACATGTTTCACACCAATAGCTTCCACCCATTGCAAAAGTTGAAGAACTTTAGAAATTTGATAAGCATCTTCACTTTCTACTACAATTGCAAGGTACCTGAGCTTGCCAATGTTAAGGGTTTTGTAGCGGCCTAGTAGTCCACTGGAGATTAAATAGCTTTCAATCACTTGGGACAAACCACTTTTAAGGTACCATAAGGTGATGAGAAGATGCAAAAAATACCACAGAACTTGAAGACCAAGATTATGAATCTGCATAAACCTTAAGAAAGAACATTAATATATCCTTTTTTTTTTCTTTGAAAAAATAATATATCCAATTAAGGTCAAGAAAAGCATATAGATCCATTGCATTATAATCTTAAAATAGAAGTTCAAAGAGAAGCAGTGAAAGGGGGTAAAGAGGAGAGGTTGGTGGGAAGGAGGGAGATTACAGACCCTAGAATGAAATCTTACACATTCAATGTCACACAAAAATTTTCCAACAATCCAGCATATTGGATCAATGCATAAAAGTCTGGCACATGACTGTAGTTGATAATTAACAAATGCGATGTAGAGTCTTAGCCCTTACACAGTGTTTTGATCAAATGAACGAGGAATTCATTTCATTTGCAAATGAATGCTCATGCTTGGTGCTAACTACTGGATATATTATTTATTTGCAAAGCCAACTATTTTTAGTCATATCAAATTGTAGCCTTAGAAAGTTAAGAGTTCATTTGCAAATTCTACCAAATTTGCTAGGATTCAGTTCGACTATGACCAATTACAAGGAATCGAAGACAGAGAATTCCATTCATTCATAACAAACAAGCTTAGTCCTCAAACCTCAGCGATCTTCTGCTCATATGTGTGTTTGATTTTGTTTACATCTCATATGGCAGTGAAAGAATTCAATAAGTCCAATTTTCCTCATTGAACAAAAGAAGGAACAAAAATGAATCAGTTCAGTGGAAAAGGAGCTTAGAACCCTTTCATTGTCAACCTCAACAATTACCCCAATCTTAATTAATTAGTCCTTCATTACTTTCACAAAAAAATCAATAAAATATCCTCCTATTAGGATTCCACTATTCACAAATTAAGCGCATATGATTATAATTCATATAATCTAAAAAAAAAAAAAAGATATGCCCAAAAAACTAACATTTCAAGTACTTACCCGCTTAATCCAAGAGTGAACTCTCTGCATTCCATGCTTCAAATCCATGACTCTACCAAAAAATAAAATAACAGAAACCCATCAATTTAAACCATTCAACAAGTAGAAGAAACTTGTCAAAGGTTCTATCAAACTGGGCAAGGAAATTGTAACAGAAAATCAAAGATAAATAATAATAATTAACTGAACACAACAAAATATAAATAAGTACAACAGAAAGAGGCGTTTTGTGATGCACGTGGAAGAGCAGCGAAACCCAGATAAAGACCAAAATTTTATGTAATTAAAAGAAAGCAAAAAGGGAGATTTTGAGAGAAAGTGAAAAGATATTTTATTTTCTCTATACCTGAAAAGAGTTTGCTTTTTCAGCCAACGAGGGCGTCGTCTGTGTGGTTTTGTAGAGAGGTAGGCGATGCTTCTTTCTGTTCTGTTTCTAAGTTGAACGTAAAAATGCAGAATCTATGAAAGAGTCTTCCCTAACACCTACCACTGCAAATATCCTTACAAAACGTTCTTCACACTGCCTAAGCTTGTCTCTATATATAGTATTAGTATTTTAATTGTTTGGTGTACTGAAGAGCATTTTTAAATTTTTTTTTTCTTTAAATATCTCAAGTTTGTTTGATTAGAGTTTTTTTTTTTTTTTTCTACATGAGGTTTGATTAGAAATGCAATCGTCGATTTCCTATTTATAATTTTTTTTAATATTTGTGTCTAGATATAATAAAGAAAATTAATTTTTTTTTATAGAAAATTTATTTATTTTTATTTGAAAAGAGTAAAATATGAAAGAAAATAAAATATTATCATTGAAACTTTGAAAATTATACCCTAGCACCTTACATTCTTAATGAAAGTCTGCACCTGCGTAAAGTAACTGTATATGGCGGTGAAGAATTCATTTACGCCACAAATTCATCATTTATAATATAGTCCGTCTTTCTATTTTTTTTTATATATATTATAGTTAATTTTGAATTATTTATTATATTTATTAAATTTTTATCTTATTATTTAAATAATTTCATTCTTCTTTTTTTTCTATAGTCACTCTCATTAATTGCAATTTATAATATTTCATTTTATATTATCAATATTTTTCGCTTGATATTATTTTCATTTTTTATTATCAATATGATTTTTATAATTTCAATATATAATAATTATTCATATATTATTTAAAATGAATATAATAATAAAATTATTCATTAATCATAATAATTTCTTTTTTTTTTTTCATAGTGTGAAAAAAGAAAATAAAATTATAAATTATCTTTTTAAACTGAGAAGTATGAAAAATAAATTTTCAAATCGTTTTCTTCTTAGTTAAGAAGTTAAACTTAACCGAACCGATGTAATGCTAGTAAATGCAGGTCCAAATAATTATTTCAATGAACTTTAATTGATTTCAGAAGAATCAAACCCATTGATTGCTTCATTCAAATAAAATTTAAAAAAAAAAAAAAAAAAAAAAAAAAAAAAAAAAAATGGCAGCCTGAAATGTACACAAATTTTTTCAACAATAGTTGGTACTACTTTGTAAGATCTTTAACGTGGCAAAGTAAATCTAACTGACTAGGTCTATAAGATGAATTAATATTACTCAAGAAGAGCCAAAGCTTAATGGCAACAATTTAAAACCTCCAGAAAAAAATCATAGGTTGTTCGGTTTCGTCACATCAGGGTCCTTACTCTACCATTACCTTTGCTGCAATTCTCGGGTAAAGTCATCGGCATTCCAGCAAGTGGAAAGCAAGAAAAAATGTGGAGCTCCAATTATGTAAGGTGTAAGATTACGATTCTCCATAAAAATGTGCAGTCACCTGCTACCTTGAATTGAATCGTGATCAGTCTTTCACCTGTAATGTCATAAAAAGCAAAATAGATGAGCACCTATCCTGCTATAACTTCATGAGTATGGCTTAAAGCACTAGAGACCTATCATATACTGCAGAACCCATCAGTAAGATTAACTGGTGTACTGATAGATCAAAGGCATGCTATTAAAAGATTACAAGAGTTCGGATGTAGCGACTCATGTGCCACAAAGATTCTAAAGATGCTTATCTGAAGTTCTGTAAAACTTAATTGAACATACAGGCTAGCACTAGCAGTATATGTTCACTAGAGGGAGATTTTGGTGTGAATACATCATTAGATAAAGGAAGAAATGACCAACTTCATTCTGCTGGCAGTAGTTAACTGTCATTTTTCCCAACAAATTCTGCATGGTCAGGCAAGTTCAAAACGATAAAAACCAGGAAAATATAATTAGTTAAATACAGACCTATTCATTGAGCTGCATCTTCAGGAAACCGAGCATCAAAGGGAGCAGAAGAGTGAGCATGCCCTGCCACACCACCAGCTGCTCCTGAACCATGCTGTAGTTCAATAACAAGCCATCGTACAGCTTTACTCATCTGCTCCAACCGAACAGCACTAATGGGAGGAAGGCCTGTTGTCCCTGACTTCCCTGTCACAGATCCAGTGGCTTCATCCACTAAGCACTCCGATCCTATCCTCTGCTTCACAGATTCGACAAACTCCTCTGCCTGATCACATGCAACCCTAAACAGTTCCCACTTCTGCTTAAAATTTTCCAATGCAGCATCTGTAGCTGCCGTTTTCTGGGCACCAGCAGTCTCCTTGGCCTCGAGCACATTAGCCGCAGCAGCTATAAATTCCTGATATGCATTGTTTAAGGAATCTACGATGCTGTCCATCGCACCTACTCGTGCCTCTATTCAACAAATCTAACTTCTATGTCTTGGTAATTACTGCATGAACTAATATAATAGTTTAATATTCAAATTGTTTCAGCCGGCAAAGTCATTTCCTTAATTGAACAAATTAACAGAATTCACCATTTGGATATTTGTGTTTAATTTAAAACAACATCAGATTGTGGAATCAAATTATTGTAGTTTTAAGCCATAAATTCTCAAGTTAAACCCACAACATAAGCCAAAATCTTGAAATTCACAGAATCATTTACCATAATCAACCATTGGTTTATAAGATACCTTAAAATTAAGGACTTTGATAAGTGAAATTGGGATTTTAAGATTCTGTAGACAATCATAAGTATCGATTGATGGCTTAAAAGTAGCAATCAAAAGCTCCAAAAAGAAAGGACAGGGGAATCGATAAATATGAACAATAAAATGCCGTAAGTAGGATTGCAACGGGTAAGATATCTATGAAAAGTGCCCTACCGGTTTAAAGTTACACTAGCATTACCTATACATATGCCAAATCCGATTAGCATCACTCATATACTACTTGAACTCGTATAAATATCCATTCAGCTCAAAATGAACAAAAACATTAAAATACTATATAAAATTCAAACTAAATGGATAGAAAACATAATCAAACAAATATGTCAATAAAAATGTACATAATCAACATCCACTAAATTCAACCAATCTATATACATATACAATACATATAAAAGTATATATATACAATATATAAGACATAGCTGCAGTTGCTGGAAAAACTGTTGACAAAACGGGAATCAAAATCAATGCCCAATACCTTCAAAATAATCAATTATATTGACAATACTGAAATTTCTTTTTGAAAACCAAGGAACTTAACTTGCAAGCTCAGACAAGATGTTACCCAAATCCTCATCTGCCTGGTCACCTGATTTAAGTCCAGAAGACTCACAACAAACGAGAATCACTTGCACAGGTTATTACATCACCCATCAGTGAAAATTTCAATTCCAAAGTTGAAAATTCTCTACATCAAGCCAACAATTTCTTTCTCTCTATTTCCACTTCACCAGATATAGATTCAAGCAAGATGCATTACAACAAGGTTTCAACATCTAAAAGACAAAATATATTATTCATATGACATTCAAAACATTTATCAATAAAAGAAGAAAACAGTGGATTAAAAAGTCAGTACCCAAAAACAATATCAGAAGGCATGAAAGCAATTGCATAGACGCAAGTAAACAATCTTTTTGAAATCTGAGGCAAAAAAGTTCTGCTGATTGGAATTATTATCTACTAGGCAATGCAAAAAGTCACTGTTCATAGTCACACCAGTGTGATAATTTACAATAAAATCGAACGATAGCAAAACCCTAAGAAATTTCACAAATTCCACACCACCATTTCATTTGTTCTATCATAACAACGCGTATTTACACCCAAAGAATCGAGCCACATAATCATTTACAAGGAAAAGAAAAACAAATTACCTTGCTACTGCGAATTGCGAGCTACAGAATTTGTTGCCGAGATGGCCGCTCGTGGGGTCGTGGCCGTCAGATTTAATCTTTGGATGTAAGGCAAGAGGCAAAGCGGACGGAAGCAACAGGAACAAAAATGAGAATTGGAATTGAAATTGAAAGAACGAGCTTTGTGCCTTCGAAATAGAAGAAGAAGAAGAAGAAGAAGAAGAAGAAGAACCAACTTTCTCTTCCTGTCGCTCGTTTTGTGTTCGGTTTTCTGAAACCCAGACCAAGGTTTGGCTTAGTATCTAAACCATAGAGAAGAGACGGCAATCGGGCGGGGTTTACCCGTCGAGGATCCGGTCAGGGCGAATTTCTCCGTGATTTTTTTTTATTATAAAAAACAAATTTCATTATAAGTTAAAATGTAAATTTTAATAACAGTATTATATTTTTCATTAAAGTTATTTATTTATTTTACGCACTACGGGCTTATTTGCATTGTTTCGAAAAGCCGAGCTTGATGGTGATATTCATAGTTGTCAGATTAACCAGAGAAAATAAAAAATTTCTCCTCTTCAGTTTTGCAACACTCGAGCAAAACCAGCTTTGAAGCTATTTTGCATGACCACAATAGTTGAAATAAATAAAATATTTAATATTTTTTTTTAGGCATTATTCACAGGAGAAATTAAATTTAGTTTAATGTTGCGTGTAAGATTAAACACTGTCATTCAATTATTAATTATTCAAATGTCTAGTTAGTGAAAATTTTAATTTATCAACTAATGAATAAATGAATATTTCACATTTTAATTATTTTATGATTGACAATTCATAATAATACAATATAAAATGTATAATATAATTAACTCTATTTATATATGTGTATTTTTCTCTTAAAAAAAATAACTATATTTATAGTATAATATAGTTTCTCTATTTCAAAAATATAGGCTTTTCTATTTTCATACACATTAAGAAAATGATTAAAAATGTTCGAATAATCATAAATTTTGTTTACATTTTTTCCTTATTTATAGCTATATTATTATTAAATAAATAATTAAATGAAAAAATTATTGATAAGAAGGCATATAAAATTATATTATTAGATAAAAAAGATGGATTATATTTATATTGCTTTGAAAGAAGAAAATGACATATAATTTGAGATGAAAAAAAAAAAGAAATACAAGTCTAATTTTTTTTAAATGGAGGAATTATATAATTAGAAATAAAAAAAAATAATAATAAACAGAAAATCGATTTTGTATGAGACCGAGACATTCAGTCATAAATACAATTCTTTTTTTTTTTTTTTTTTTTTTTTAGAAATTTTCATATTGTTCCACTAAGAAAATTATATTCATTAAATTTTGGCTATTTCCAACACTGACTTTTTTGGGCAATTGTCCTTAGTCATAACCACTTCAATAAAATTAAGTAAGGGGTGAACTGAATGGTTCCTTAAAGTAGATCGTCGTTAGTCCAAATCCAATGTTTGATTCTATTTTCATTTATTCGTAATTTTGCTCATAAATAAAAACAAACATATTAATTTATAATTAATTTATTAATTTATCGAAAAAGAATTCCGGACATTTTATATGAATCCATCTATATATTAAATTAATTATTCAAATAATGATATTGTTAATTTACTAGTTCATTGAAATATTTATTTGACCTAATTGGAAAAATTTTAATTTCCTTTATTGTTAGAAAAAAGAATAAGAAAGAGAATAAGAAAATTAAAGTGATAAGAAAGACCCTTATCCCGTCAAGTCTGTGATTATTTTTATTTCTATAAGCTTAATCTTAGTTCTCTGCCTAGCTCATCCTTTTTGTAAATAAACTTGAGTTAAAGTAGACTGTAATTTTAACATAATTACAGAATAAACCCATTTAAAATGGACCGATAAGATCCACCAGATCTCATATCTAATAAATTAAAAAGCTAAGGAAACCCACAACTACGGATTTACTATACAAATGCACACATAGGATTATTGCCAAAGAAGCAGAGTACAACTGTACAACGAAATGGAGAAGTGATAAAGACCCACGTACAGGGCAGAAAGAATTTCTCGTTTCAAAATTTGAAAGAGGAAGAAGAACTCTATTCTAACCATAATTCCTGTTTCTTCATCTCTATCTAAACCCTTTTCTGAAATTTCCATTGATACCAGTTTCTACATTCGTTTTGTGTTTTTTCTTCTCTGAAAACCCTAATTTTTTCTCTCCATGGGAAATCCAGAAGACATGAAAGCCAACGATAAAGAAATCCCTGCAAAAAGGAAGAACAACGTCAACAATGGCGAAGAAGAGTATCAAATTCCAAAACGCACCAACCATCACTTTGATGAATATATAGCTGATGATGACGATGATGATTCATCTTTTACTAAGCTTTCTTTGCAAATTGGTTCTGCTAAACCCAAAATCTCTATCACCACTCCGCCTGAGCCGCCCCAATCATTATTGCCAACATTACACCAACCACCGGAAATCCCGCAAATTGAGACCCTAAGACCACCCATCACCTCCACTATTGCAACTAGCCCTAACCAGTTTCCTTCTTTCCATCCTCTATTTGCCACAGGTCCAACTCCTCAAATGCCTGAAGCGCCGTCGTTTTACTCGGGTACCGTTAGTACTCCTTTGCATCATCGCCAAGAGGGTCCCACTGCTCCTCAATGTCGCCCTCCACGTGCTCGGCGTAATACTACACAGACGCCACGCGAAGGGAAGAGCGAAATAATTCCGCCCCCGTTTCCTTGGGCGACGAATCATCGGGCCACGGTGCATAGCATGGAGTATTTGCTGTCGAAGAAGATAGAAACGATTTCTGGTGCAGTTCACTGTAAGAGATGTGAGAAGCAGTATGAGATGGGTTTTAATCTGAGAGAGAAGTTTGTTGAAGTAGGGACATTTATTGCTGAAAATAAGGCTTCAATGCATGATAGGGCACCGAGTGTTTGGATGACACCAGTTTTGCCTAGTTGCAAGTACTGTGATCAAGAAAACAGTGTAAAGCCACTGATTTCTGAGAAAAAGAAATCCATTAATTGGCTGTTTCTGCTTTTGGGTCAGATGCTTGGTTGTTGTACTCTTGAACAATTGAAGTATTTCTGCAAACACACCAAGAATCATCGAACTGGGGCTAAAGATCGTGTTCTTTACCTTACTTATCTTGGATTGTGCAAACAGCTTGACCCAGATGGCCCTTTTGAACGTTGATATGTGAGTAGATTATTCATTGATTAAGTGTTTGGGTTATTTCTGTAAAATGAATGGTAACTCTACCATTAGTCTATTAGCTATATTAGTATTCATGGAGCATGAAGCACAATTAAGTGGTCCTTTAATCGCTTTCTATAATATCTGCTTTGGATCTTTATGCAGCTTTTTGATCCTTGGGCTATATGTTCTAATATATCTTAAATTCTATATCATGCCTTTTGATTTAGTATCAATTTTTTTGACTGTTTAATATGCAATTTCATTTCATTTTCTAGGTAATAGGTAAGAATAATTGAGAACAACATTCTTCTTTGCATGATTTAAAAAAAAAAAAAAAAGCTAAATTATTCTTTGCATGCAATGAAAGATTACATGCATACATTTATTGGTTTCTTTTTCCTTTAATGGACAGATTTTGTTTTCTTTTTATGGATTCTAGTTAGCAGCTTTCATTATCAGAAAAATCTATTAAGAACTCCAGGTGCTTGATGTTTTTCCCGAGTTACTAATTATGGGATTGTTAGAATCTAATAACAAAAACTTTACTTTTTCTTTTCTTAACCATGCATGCACTTATATTATTATATTATATATACCTTAAATGGAAAGATTTTGCGACTGGGAAAGTTGTTGTATCCTTTATATTAATCTTGACCATAAAAGTGTGGTAAGGCAAAAGTTGTGAGATAGCCTATACGAAGGTTTAATTAGTGCTGTGTAATTTTCTTATTTTAACTATACTTTTTTTATTGGTACAAGTAAGAGGTATAAAATGTAAAGATTTTTTCATCATGCTCTTTTAATGTGCTTTCTGAAATCTACTGATTAAGTAGGTATTGATTTAGATAGTGAGCGAAGTTATTAGATTCTTGATTAAGTAGGTATTGATTTAGATAGTGAGGGAAGTTATTAGATTCTCGAAAAGCGTATTTTGCTCGAATAAAAAAAAAAAAAAATAGTAGTTATAATTTTAGTACTGAAGATGAGATCTCCCCCACTGCGAGTCAGTATAATAACTATAATCATATATTTTTCACTTAAAAAGAAAGTAAGAGTGCGCTTTGCTTTTGTGAAATGGAAACTGACAAAGGAAAATATACGTTGCTTTTCTAATCAGTCAGACAAGAACTGAGAATATTATTATACTGGAAGTTGGAATCATAAACATTCTTCATAGGCCATGTGATCATATTCAAATATTTTTCTTGAATAAAATAATATTTGACCAATAATTATTATAAAATAAATTATTTTATATTTTTAAATAATGTCTTTTTCACGATAATGCATTAAATTAAATTAAAATTTAATTAAAATATAAATAACTCGAGCCATAAAATAAGAAATATTAATTTTTTTAATTTAATGATTATATTGGTGTCTTATATGATAATAAATGAACAACCATTTATAATAAATTAAAAACATGATTAATCAAATCTAGTCAGTACTAATTAATCTCTATCAAATGATTTTATTGTATTGATATTTATTCAATTAAATAACTTATTAATTAACTATATATATTAAGTGTATAATGATATTAATCAATTAGAATTCAATATCAATGAAGAGTCTTTTAAAAATGTTATTTTTAAATATACTAATTAATAATATTTTTAAATAGTTTAAAGATAAAATTAAAAAAAAAACTCTGCAGTGAAATTGAATTCTAACTGATTAATCCCACTAGAGACTTAATATATGTAGTTAATTAATAAACTATTTAATTGAATAAATATCAATATAACCAAATTATTTAATAGAGATTAATAAATACGCGGTATTGATTGATAAAATTAAAAGAACTGACCAGATTTGATGAAAACTTTAAAGTTCAGGTTTTTTTTTTTTAATACACATAGATATATGACTTGGCGCTGACATTGGATGTTATAGGGTACACTTATGAAAAATAACTGTCACGTTAGTATGAAATTGATGAAAGACAAACGAATGCTAGAATTAATATAAAAAACTAAGTACATGGTATTGATTAATAAAGTTAAAAAAAAAAACTGGCTATAATTGATAAAAAGGTCGAACTTCAGGCTTTTTTTTTTTGTTATTAAGCCTTAATATAAATTTATTTCTTTTTACAAAATAATTAATAAGTAATCCACATGCTTAAAAAGAGCGTGCATAAACAATATGTTATTATTAAATAAACAATATATAAGCAATTTAAAAAATATAAATTTGAACATATAGGATATGATAATTTTTAAAAAAGTAGGGCATCCACCGCTTAGGTCCTTAGGACACACTACACTAAATAAGTAATATATTAATTTTATAATTTTTAAAAAAGTAGGCAATCCACCGCTTAGGTCCTTAGGACACATACACTTAAATTAAGTAAATATATTAATATTTTAAATAAATAAACAAAATTTATGAATTAATTATAAACATAAAATTTGTGAAAAAAAATTAAATTTCTTATTTCAATGTACCAAAAAATATTAAAAAACATTTCATTTTTATGATAGTAAATCATAAAAAAAAAAAAAAACCTAAAAAAAAAAAAAAAACCTTGGTTGATTAACTTGGTGTATAGAGTAGTATCGTATACTAGGAGCTGAGTTGCACAGAAACACGGTACACGAGATACGAAACATATGGGATATGATAATTTTAAAAAAAGTAGGATATTCACTTGCTTAAAACACTTGATACTAAATAAATAATACATTAATATTTCAAATGAATAAACAATCATTTATAATAAACATAAAATAAAAAAAACACTAAATTTCTTATTTCAATGCCCCAAAAGCAAATTGAAAAAAAAATACTTCATTTTTATTTGTAATAAAAAGAATCTTAGTTGATTAGCTTGATGTATAGAGTAGTATCATTTATTAGGGGCTAGATTACACAAACACATGACACGAGATACAACAACGTACGAGATACGATGATTTTTAAAAAAGATAAGACATTCACACACTTAATACACAGTACACTAAATAAGTAATACATTAATATTTCAAATAAATAAACAATTATTTATAATAGATCATAAATATAAAACAAAAAATACTTAATTTCTTATTTCATATTTCAATGACACAAAAGCAAATTAAAAAAAAAAACACTTCATTTTTATTGATAATAAAAAAATCTTGATTGATTAGTTTGGTGTAACGAGTATTCTCATATACTAGGAACTAGGTGCACGGACATGAGATATGAGATACGGGAATGTACGAATATGACAATTTTTAAAAAGCAGGACATTCATATGCCTAGAACACACTACACTAAATAAGTAATTCATTGTAATAAACAATCATTTATAATAAATCATTTATAATAAATCATAAACATAAAATAAAAAAAATATAAACATAAAATAAAAAAAATACTTAATTTCTTATTTCAATATAATTAGTTAAATTCTCAATATTATTATCACTATTGAAAAATATATTAATAGCGTCTATGCATTTTTTAATGTAAGTCATACCATGCATGATTTTACTACTGCATACCTTATGAAAAGTTTCGCGTGATACTTAAGAAAACATATCTTAGCATCACAATTTTTCAGCATATCTCAATAAGATACAATTTGTCATTTTATTATATAATTTTACTATTTTTGAATGATGTCATAAAATATTATTTCATCTTTTAATATTACCTTGCGCATCATGCGGATTAGCAATTATATTTTCAGATAATATCATATAGGAGGAAAAAAAACTAAATTAATATTAATAAGCAAATTTTTTTTTTTTTGAAATAAGAAAGGAATATAAGAGAAAATAATTCCGATAATTTTCTCTTCAAAAGAAAGGAATATAAGAGAAAATAATTCCGATAATTTTCTCTTCAAATTAGAAGGAAAATAAAAACTATAAAAATAAATTTGTAGAGAAAATTTAATTTTATGTTTCTTTATATCAAAAAAAAAAAAATAAGTAACAAAAGTTTTTTCAAAAAAATTTAGTCCCTTCTTATTTTATCTCATTATTCATTAATAAAGAAAGATACAAAAATAAATTAAAAAAACGCTTCATCACGCGATATGAGAATGTATGAGATTCGACAATTTTTAAAAAAGTAGGAAATCCACACGCTTATGACACACTATGCTAAATAAGCACAAATATTAATATTTTAAACAAAAAAAATCATTTATAATAAATCATAAACACAAAATTAAAAATAGTTAATTTATTATTTCAATATAATTAGTTAAATTCTCAAAATTATTATCATTATTATTTCAATATAATTAGTTAAATTCTCAAAATTATTATCACTATTGAAAAATATATTAATAGTGTGTGTGCATTTTTTGATACAGGTCATACTAGAGGTGTCAAAATAGTTCACGACACGCGAATATGATTCGCCTAACACACGAAATAGATGAGTTATGGTTGAGGTTAAATAAGTTCGTGTCAATAAACGAGTCACTCATTTATGACACAAATATAAACACGTAGTGCTGCTGGTTGACACACAAGTTAGACGAGTGACTCGTTTATTTAAGAGTAAAGAGGTAATTTTAGTATTAGATATAAATACTCTAACTAAAACCTATTTAAATTTTCTAACTAAAACCTATTTAAATTTTATTGTTATATTACTTTTTTATTTTAATTAAGAATCTTTAAGAATTTATGCATTTTACATGTGAAAATTTATTTTTAAATATAATTGGAATTAAATAGGTTAAAAGTTAAAAATACTATAAGCAGGTTAAGTGAGTTGTGTATAGGTGAATACATCCACTTAACCTATTTATAATATTAAGTGGGTTACAGGAGTTGTATATGGGTTAACACGACACACTTAACTTGTTTATGATATTAAACAGATTACACGAGTTGTATATTAGTCAACACGAACCACTTAACTTGTTTATAATATTAAATGGGTTAAACGTATTGTATTTGTGTCAACCGTCTAATTTTCATGTTGTGTTTGTGTCAAAATTATAAAAAATTATTTCATCATTTAATATTAATCCGCGCATCGCGCGAGGTTATAAAAAAAAAATATATATATATATATATAAAAAAAATATATAATAAGTAAATATAATATACGGACCAATCCAATGTAGGCTATTATCCAAGACAAAACTATCCTCTATATTAAGATAGTGGAAAGGTTGTGGGTCCAGAGTTAAATAGTTAATGGAATATATATATATATATATATATACGGACCAACCATTACTATACCCAAACAAAACTATCATCATATAGAAGTGAAAGGTGTGGTCCAAGTTAAATGTTATGATGTTCAAATAGTAATGCTTTTGCCATGCCTACAATAAGGTGAAGCAACGTATTGGGCCACGGTTTTGACACCCTTTGCCTGTCTCTTAGGGCAAAATCATTGTCCATATTTACTTCGTTATAGCAACAATTGAAATTGAACTAAAACAAAATAAAAATTTCACCTTATTTTAGAAAACCATACTTGGTTTTTTATTATTAATTTCCAAATAAAAAGAAGGGGAAGAAAGACAGCTTAATACAAAAATCTGGGTAAACTATCCCATTAACATTACGAAAGAGTCAATTAGGTCAATCCGAGGTTCTCCTTAAGGATACAAGTGTCAAAATGTAGCTTGTTAGAACCAACTCATCTAACCAGATGACCAAAATTTTGTGAGTATTAAATTGATTTTGGTTAAACAAAAGTTAGAAAACAGTAAAAAGAAAATAAATCAAATTGACTTAAAAAAATAACACTAAAAAAAACTGATGTTTTCACGGTCTCAGGTTAATAACTACTAAACGGGTTTCAATATTCATTTCCACGGGTTTCTGTAGATCATGAGATACAATCTTCTTTGCCACTCTCTAATATATATTGTACCATTTTTTATTTATTTATTAAAGGTTCAATGGATAAAAAAATATTGTGGGCTACATAATTTTGTGGTTGAAATGTATCGAATTTAAAATTTCTTATTTTATATATAAATGAGAAAATGAATTATACCATACGTGGTTGACATAATATATTTTAATTTCTACTATTTATATAAAGACTTTAGTTGAAGTATTACAACAATGGATAGGATGATTTTGTAGGTCTAATAAAATACATAATTCTATGTATAAATTTAGGTATATTTTGAATAATTTTAATTGGTATTAGTTGCCATATTTATCTAACCTTTTGATACTCGATACTAAATTAATCATACTCAGATATTTCAAATATCTCTTTAAATTTGGGTACGAAAAAAATATTTGAAATTTTAAAATAACTTTTAGTCTAAAATATAGAAGAATTACTGACATTTATTATGTTTAGGTAAAAAAAAAAATGAGGGTGTTTTTTTTTTAAGATAAAAATTTTTTTGAGAAGTTTTTTAAGGTAACAATTTTTTGGAGAAGGTTTTTAAGATAACAATTTGAGTTAAACTAATCATAAATAAAAAATATTATCTTATTTTAATCCCAATAGTCTATTTTAGATCAAACTAGGATAATTAAACATTTTAAACTTGTGACAATTCAAATTTTACGATGGATATATTATATATTAAATTTATATTTCTTTATTGTTTTCAAAAAAGGAATTATAAATTTTGAATATATTATACAACTCTTTACTCTAGCAATAATATTTGTTAGAATTTTTAATTTTTAGATGTAAAATATTGATTTGATATGTAATTAATATGGCTTGAAATAATTTTAATTTATTTAGTAAAGATTTAATTTTACAAGTTATAGTAATTAATAAAATAATTTTATAAATTAAATTATTTATACATACAATTTTATGAGTTAAAATATTCAACCGATTAAAATAGAATTTAAAGATATTTACGTACGTACTAAATTTATATATTTGGAGAATTTATTTGCTTATGTGCATGAAAACAAAATCAACAACTTTAGAAGCTAATAACTATGTTGATTATGTCTTTAGGAAAAAAAAAAAAAAAAAAAAAAAAAAAAATAGACAGCTAATTAAACTATGTTGCATTATGTCTTTAGGAAAAAAAAAAAAAAAAAGAAAAAAAAGAAGAGGAAAAGGGCTGGGCCTTATTTGACGTGGTTTATTATTAATATTTAATATGTAATGCAACTTCGTTATCAAATCATTCAACGTACGCAAAACGTCAGACGCGGTATCACCATGTGAGTAGTTAAATTATTAATTAATTAACTTATAATTGCTACACCCAAGCTGCCCAATATGGGTATGCGACTAAATAATTAATATTTAAAAGTCAAACCAAAAAAAATTTGAAAAATGGGCAGCCATAGAATCTTCCAATTTATTGAGAAAATTTTAAAAAGTTATCATCCGGAAAAAAAAAATGAATATATCCAGCCCGTGATATAAATGAATACTGTGTGTCGAGAGAACTCGATTTCTTAAATTTTGTATGATAAGTGCATAAAATCAACTAGAACGGCACTGCTTGCCTTGATAAAAAATTTATTGACTTTATAATATAATAATTTTATTTTTAATGATTTTCAATAATATCTTTAATATCTTATTTATAAATAGTAAATTCAAATGATTTTAAATATAATTAAACTTTTTTGTTTAGATTTTTAAAAAAAAAAAAAAAAAGAAAAAAAAAAAGAAGAGGAAAGGGTGGGCCTTATGACGTGGTTTATTATTATTTTATATGTAATGCAACTTCGTTATCATCATCAACGTACCAAACGTCAACGTATCACCTGTGAGTAGTTAAATTAATTAATTAATTAATTATATGCTACCCAACTGCCAATATGGTATGGACTAATTAATATTAAAAGTCAAACCAAAAAAATTTGAAAAATGGCAGCCATGAATCTCAATTTATTGAAGAACAATTTTAAAAAGTTATCTCGAAATTGAATTCACCTGATATAATAATACTGTGGTCGAGAGAACTCGAATTTCTTACATTTTATATAAGTGATAAAATCAACTAGACCACTGCTTCCTTGATAAAAAATTATTGACTTTATAATATATAATTTATATTTTAATGATTTCATATATTTTATAATCTTATTTAAATAGAAATTCAATATTTTAATATAATTAAACTTTTTTGTAAGATTTTTAAAAATGTAATTCTTGATCCACCACAAGACAAATAATGGATGGTATTAGGCTTTTGTTATTGTTTTTGCAACTACAAATATCACCGATTCTCTAAATATATAATTAGTGGAGTACTAAGACAATTAGATAAGAAAACATTCTATTTAAAAATTAATATTTAATTAAAATTTTAAAATGGAAAATGAAGTAAAAAAATAATCCAGTAAAAAAAAAAGTAAAAAAAAAAATCCTAAGATTGATGTATTGTTGTATTCCAATTATGTTGAAGTATTAATTTTTATTCTAGGTGAAGTACATAAATTAATTCTTAAGCTTTGCTATTTTAATTTTATCACTTTTTATTTTATATTGGCCAATCGAATATTTAATTTATAAAATTACATTCATTCAATCATTAAATGTAAACTCATTTTATTAGACATTTTAATTGATAAAATTAAATGAATTAAATACTTATAAGATGATTTAAAAATATGCAAATTATTATTTTAAAAGTTTTGTTAATCATCTTAAGAAAATGTTATGCTAATCATATATTAAAATTAAAAATCCTACAAACTATTTTTTTGTTAATAAATAAAAAATTAAAATAATACTAAAATTCACAATTAGAGGCACAATCGATTACTTTTTTTTAAATTAGGGGTATTATAAAATAAAATAATAAAATTCAGGGTGCGATTCATGTATTTGGCCATTTATTAAAGATTAATAGTAAGTATACGTTATATTCAAGTACGTTAGTGCTTTCCAAAACTCAAAAATATAAAATAAATAAATAAATATAATAAATGAAAACCCATTGATGACTTGTCCTTTAAGCCTTTTCCTTTTCATAGCCTTTTCAGTATTTATTTTTGGTTTTTTTAGCAATATCAAGAGAAAGAAAATTTCCATAAAAAAAAAAGTAAAATAAAATTATTATCCAAGGTTGACGGAGAGAGAGAGTGAGTGAAAGGAGACGGACAAAATAGGATCCAAGAGAGGCGCGAGAACTGTCTCACCATGAAAACCAAAACAGAAACAGAAAATTCTAAGAAAAAAAAAGGGAACAGAGAAAACAATGGCAAAAACACCAGCTAAAACAGCTACCTACAGAGACCTTAACATGCCTTCATTCCCTTTCACGTACAAAATGAAACCCTAATCTGCCATTTCCTTCTTCATCCTACACTGAAACCTCCTATTTTGCCCTTTTTATGATTTATATATAACTTTTTGGCTGATACATTGTCATTTCAATTCAATTCAATTCAATTCTCTAGTTTTGATTTTTCTTTCTAGATTTGTCAATGGAGTCTCTGGTGGAGCTCTGCGACCTCGTGGCGCAAAAACCGACGCAATTCAAGGAAAAATTGACGTGGATTTGCAATCGATGTCCTCCATCGGAGGTTTTCCAAGCCGATTCCCCTAGGGTTTCGCGGTCACAGCTCAATGCGGTCCTTGTTTTGGCTCGATTCCTCTCTAAGTGCACTGAATACGTTGATAATAGGCCTGAAGATATCGTCCTTGATTTTTTTCGCGCGATTCCGTTGTCGTTTCAGCAATCATTTTGGCCCCAGTCACTCGGTATCGACTCGATCTCTTTATTCTTTGTCGATTTTATGGCATATATAACCAAAGCGGCTGAGTTGTCCGTGGATTTCTCCGAGGAGATTGCTGCTTATGCTGGGGACGTGATTATGGCTGCGATAAATAACAATGCTAGTGATAATTCAGCTATTTCGAAGGCTTTCCTGCTGGCTTTAACGCATAATTTCCCGCCAATTGAACAGTACGATGCGGAGAAACTGGTGACGTGCCTACTCGATCAGTTGAATTCCTCCGGCCAGGTTTCGGCTTCTACTAGTGAACAAATTGGTATAAGCTCCGAAACGTCGTCGTCTCAGTGCTCGCCAATGAACAACGTAAACCATAGGAATTCTAACCACAGTCCCGCGAATGATACGAGCCACGTCTCGGGATCGTCCGGCGCCAGTGTGGTGTCGTCAATGTCTGTGGCGATAAATGGAGGCAGCGTAGCGTGGAAGAGTGGTTTTGATTCTATGGCAATGGGTCTTGGGTTCAATGATGGAGGCGGAGGTTTGTTTAGGCAACAAGTGGCTTCCTTTGAAGAGGAGTCTGTGGAGGCATTAGAGAAGCAGGTGATTGCATTTAAGTTAATTGCACATGTTCTGGATCGTGTGAAGATTGATAATGATCTTTTGAAGAGCCTGAGGACAATTGCTAAGAAGCAGTTACATTCTCTGTCTGCATTTCTAAAGGTAATTGTCAATATTTTTCGTATGCGAACTGTTACCGTCATTTGTAGTGAGTAGGTAGCCTTACTGCATTTTACTGGAAGACCAAAAAATATAGTAACTTGAGCAAAAGGGCCACAAAGAGAAATTAGGTTAGGAAAACTAAGAAGTAGAGGCAGATAAAGAATCATCCACGGGAACAGGTTAATCATTAATTATTGAATTTAATTTATATGCTGTCACAGGTGTAAACATTTTAGTGCATTTAATCAGAATGACTAAACATTGAACTTCTTAGTGCATTTGATCTGAATGACTAAAAATTGAACTTCTTGAGGAAAGACTTTAGAAGGGGTAGTGGTTATAACTTGAATATATTGGTGCGTGTCTCTAGAAAAATAATTTTTTGGGTTCGTTTTGTCTGGTTGTGTATGAGTGTTACTTAGTGCAGTAGAGAAATTAACTAAGTAAATTTCCTGAATTTAGTGAGTGATTAAGAAAGTTATCTGGGCAGATACGGAAGCGGGATTGGACTGAGCAGGGGCAACCTTTAAAAGCTAGAGTGAATGCAAAACTGTCTGTTTATCAGGCGGCAGCAAAGATGAAATTTAAAACTATTGCATCTATTGATGCGGATGGGAAAACCTCCAAGAGATTGGTGCTTGAGACTCTTGCACTAATGATAGATGCTGCAGAAGCGTGTTTGATCTCTGTGTGGCGAAAGTTGAGAATTTGCGAAGAGCTGTTCAGTTCCCTCCTCACTGGCACTGCACATATTGCTGTCACTAAAGGAGGTCAGCCATTGCGTGTTCTGTTGATTCGCCTCAAGCCTCTTGTGCTGACTGCATGTACACAGGTATCCTTTTTTTAACCATGTAGCTTAGACATTCAGTTCAGTGGATTTGGTGTTTATTGCTGTATATCCTAATTTTGACAGGCTGATACATTGGGGGACAGCCAGGGAGCTATGTTTGAGACTGTCATGAAGACTAGTTGTCAGATAATAGAATCTGGGTGGACCAAAGACCGGTCTCCTGTTGACACATTTATCATGGGATTAGCCACAAGCATACGTGAACGAAATGACTATGATGAACAGGTTGGTTTATGCTATGGGAACCCAAATTCCAGTGCATAGATTCATATGATTTACCTGAATTTTCAATTGAGAAAATGCATTGAGTCGTTTATCAATTTAATGAATTGGCATGGTGGATTCCTACGTATATGTTAATGTAAAGATTTCAAAATTTTTGTTGAAAGAAGTCTCTGTAACTTTCTTCATATATTTTGTAACTTTTCCCAGCATTATGCTCACTGTTTATGAGAAGATCTTCTATCTGTGCTTATCGTATGGTTTGTGTTCAATGATTAATAATATCAAGTATATTTACACTGTAATTTAATCAGCAGGGTTTTAAAAGCTTCCTCTCTGCACTAATTTATGCATAGTTAGTATTCCTTTTTTCTGTTAATTAATTTTTATGGTTGAGTTCCATTTTATGATTACAAGTCATTCTATTTTCAGGCTGACAAGGAAAAGCAGGGAGTTCCAGCTGTGCAACTTAATGTTATACGCTTACTAGCTGATCTGACTGTTGCTGTTAACAAGTCTGAAGTAGTAGACATGATACTCCCTCTTTTTATTGAAAGCTTAGAAGAGGGTGACGCTTCATGTCCTGGTTTATTGCGACTCCGAGTACGAATCTTTGTCTTCAGAGAATGTGTTTGCTGAATAAGGCTTTTATGTCATTATATCTCATTACCTTAATTTTCTTTTCAACATTTATCATCCCAAGTGGCAATATTCTATCATGCTTCTTTAATTTGGTGGCATGGTTTAGTGACTATCCCCCTTACACGTTGCAGCTTCTTGATGCTGTATCTCGCATAGCAAGTTTAGGTTTTGAGAAGTCCTATCGTGAGACTGTTGTTCTGATGACAAGAAGTTACTTGTGTAAATTATCTGGTGTAGGAGCTGCTGAAAGCAAAACATTGGCACCGGAAGCCACAACAGAACGTGTTGAGGTATTTAATTCTGTGACCATGTTAAGCATGAAGCTATTGCTTGATTGATTATCTTATCAAATGGTTGCTCACTTTTTCAATCACATTCTAGACTCTCCCTGCAGGATTTCTTTTGATTGCTAATGGCCTTACAAATATGAGATTGCGTTCAGACTATCGTCATCGTTTGCTATCTTTGTGCTCAGATGTAGGCCTGGCTGCTGAATCCAAAAGTGGAAGGTATAGAGCTGTCCCATTATGCAGTCTTGGTGTTATGTGTTTAGAACAACCATTTTTATTTTCATCCCTTCATTGTGTGTCTGATTCAGAGATATTATATATGATAATCCAATTGTACAGGAGTGGAGCAGATTTTCTGGGGCCTCTTCTTCCTGCTGTTGCTGAAATATGTTCTGATTTTGATCCTACTGTAGATGTGGAGCCTTCTCTTTTGAAATTATTCCGAAATTTATGGTTCTACATTGCCCTTTTTGGTTTAGCACCTCCTATACAGAAAAATCAACAACCAGCAAAGTCAGTTTCAACTACCTTGAACAGTGTGGGAAGCGTGGGTTCAATTGCACTTCAAGCAGTGAGTGGACCGTACATGTGGAATGCAGAGTGGTCTTCTGCCGTTCAATGTATTGCTCAAGGGACTCCTCCTCTTGTAAGTTTGTGAATATTCTTCCATAATTCTTGTTTATTGTCTCATAAAAGTATTATTTTCTCCCCCTCGTATGATGATGACTTCCGTTTCTTTTTCTAGATAAATTGTTTAATTCTGAAGTTGCAATAGTATATACATACATCCACACCGCACAAATGAATATGTCAAATTTCTTTTGGTACACTGTCTTTGAGAATATGCTCTACGTCTCATGCTGAGTATCATTTTAATTTGCCAATTGCTTCCACAATTCACTGTTCTTTGATCAATATGTCTGCATTTCATATCATAACTGATATGCTAGAATACACTTTATTTCTTGTATTCTTAATATTGTTTTACTCATCTATGAAAATTTTTAAGCATTCAAGTAAAAGTAGCATTTCCAGAACATGCTTTGCAATCATATTTCTGATTATTTTTTTATGCCAAGTCTTCGCCTGTTTGAAAGCAATTTATTAGGGAAATAAGTTGGGTTAAACAGGCACTAAGCAGATGGGTAACATCAGAGGAGTTGAAAACAGCAAAATAAGATCCAACCAAAACCTGAAAGGCTTGTGTGATTCTAAGTTTATTTAGAGATAGCTCTTGAGTTGAGCATGACTCATTCCTCTTCCATGCTGAGAAATTTAGTTCCGCCTTCTTCTCAGCTTTTTTGTTATATTTATTTGATTTTTCATACAACTGAACTTGATCTGTTAAATCCTAGGATATTCCAGAGCTTTACTGTACTGATGTCTTTTTGTTCTGTCACTCTCAAGGAAATGAATGCAGCGTGGCTGTTAAAATCTTCATATAAACTCTCACCTCTGCCCGGACTCTGCTTGGACTATCTAGTCTAGTCAGTTCAGCTTAAGGCGGTCTTATAATAGTTCCCGTGAATGCCAATGCTACTACATGCAACAGAGGCTATTGGTCTATCTGATTTCCCTCTTCTTCCCTCAAATTCATCCTGCAAGTTTTATTAGGGCCCCTGAAACCCTGCCATGGCAACTTAGAAATCAGATCGGTGCACCATTATATGGTAGATTTCACGTAGAAAGTCTAGAATATAAGCTGTGGAAAAAGATCAAACTGATTCATGTATTAACTGAATTTATGGGCTTCAGGCCCCTTTGATGATGCGGTTTAGTGTGACACTGAATTGGCGTTGGACATTCAGAATTAAATATTCTTGTAGATTTGAAGTAAACTGTCATTTTGCTGTTGAAAATGGAGTGTACTTGAATTGATACCATGCTCCAAAATGTTTTTCTTTCTATGACATGAAATTTTCATTTAATTATCGTGTTAAATTAGGCTCATAAGTTACTAAATTGAATGTAATTAGGTGAGTGTGATATTTTTTCAATTTGCATTGTCAACCTTGGAAGATTGCTTTTTTACTTTTGTACCTAAAATAAATTTCTATTTATCTGTAGTTATTGGAGTGAACTAACGCCTACCTAAATTTTTCTTATGTGACAACTTTACTGCAGGTTGTCAGCTCTGTCAAATGGCTTGAAGATGAATTGGAACTAAATGCCCTTCACAACCCTGAAAGCCGTCGCGGTAGTGGCAATGAGAAAGCGGCTGTTACCCATAGAGCTGCTCTTTCAGCTGCTTTGGGAGGGCGAGTTGAAATTGCAGCAATGAGCACGATTTCAGGTTAGACAATATTATTATGTAAACGTTTAATCTTTTCTTTTTCCTTTTTCTTTTCTCTCTTAGGATTTCTTGTTCTCCTCTTTGCAATTTTGGACTTTAGTCTTAGTAAAACCTTCTGTCATCTGAAGGAAATGTGTGTGTATATATATATATATATATAATTGTGTGGAATTATATATATATATATTATATATTATATTATTTTATTTATTTTTTCAACGGTTTTGTAGGTTGAGTCTTCTTCTGCTATGCCGTCTGAAAATCTTTTTAGTCCTTTTTTCGTCTGGAGTCATCCCTCATAAATGGTTGTGATCTCCACCGTATTGGCGCGGATTGAAGGATGCTTTCTTGGTTTTCTATATATATATATATTATTTATTTATTTTTTCAACGGTTGTGAGTTGAGTCTTCTTTGCTTTTGCCGTCTGAAAAATCATTTTTAGTCCTTTTTTCGTCTGGAGTCATCCCTCATAAATGGTTGTGATCTCCACCGTATTTGGCGATTGAAGGATGCTTCTTGGTTTTCATTTATGTTTTACAGGTGTGAAGGCAACTTATCTTCTTGCTGTTGCTTTTTTGGAGATAATACGTTTCAGCAGTAATGGTGGCATCCTCAATGGTGGTAGTGGTTTGACTGCTGCTAGAAGTGCCTTCAGTTGTGTTTTTGAGTACCTAAAAACTCCAAACCTTATGCCTGCTGTCTTCCAATGTTTAACGGCAATTGTCCACAGGGCATTTGAAGCAGCAGTACATTGGCTGGTATTAAGCTACTCATTCTCTCTCCCCTATAATTTTTCTTCACATGCAGTGTCCATTGAGTTGTATGTCATAGATCTTGGTCAGAAGTAGCAAGTCTTTTATATAGCATATTTAATTATCCTCTCCTTAAAATGTAAAATAAATTAACTTCACCTGATTGGGATTGTATTTGATTAGATTCTTGTTTGTTTCTTTTTTTCCCCAATTCTACTTTTGCGTCCCACTTTTTTTTGGTGGGAATTGAGTTCTGAATGTGGTACAGAGATTTGACTTCTCCTCTTCTCCTCCCCCACCTTCCTACTTTTTTCTTTTTGTTTTTAAACAATTGAGTTGTAATTCTTGTATCTTTCTCTGCATGCTTGTGTGCATGAATGTTGTATGCGCAAGACCTTGACCATGTTTTTTAGGGTGCCTAAATTTTTAGGTGTTTCTAAAATGTCTGTAGAAAGGCGGCCTATGTTTTGCTTCATAATTTTCACGAACTATTATGTGGCATTGTCTACTACAATGCTAGAAATCTCTGATTGCTTAATGCAAAGGCATATATTTCTGAGCTACTCATGGTATAGCTGAGAACCCTTGGATGCTTACCTCAACAATAGGTTGCTACTGATGTTGGTAAATGACAATGTATCCTTCTGAATTGTCTTATTATTATACATTTTTCATTGTGTTACTTCTCATGTAATAACTCTAGTGGTGATTCTTTCCCTTGTTCTATGATGCTTGCATCTCCTTCTGATTTTATGTTCAATTAATGTTATTTACTCTCCGCATGCTACAATTAATGATTCCAAGATTGGTTGCAGATGATTGGAATGCAATTTAACTGATTTAATTTCCTGCACAATTTAATAAGTACTTAGATAATAATACTGTGGAAATGCAGTGTGCTTTTCCTTGCTGTATGATGGTTTTCTCTCCCTTCTCGTTTTTGCTATCTAAACTTCATTCATGTGGCGATTTGAGTTCAGGAAGATCAAAAAAGTTACACAGGCAATGAAACTGAGAGCAGAGAATCAACTCTTTTTGCCCATACCTGTTTTCTCATTAAAAGTATGTCGCAGAGAGAGGAACACATCCGGGATATTGCTGTTAATTTGTTGACTCAGCTTAGAGATAAGTTTGCTCAGGTAGAATCTTTCTGATAATATCATTGATCATTCATTGATTTGTTTCTATTATTTTTGAGTGATATATTGCTTAGTCTATTTGGAATAAGTGGAAAATCCATCTATGCAGGTCTTGTGGAATTCATCTTGCTTTGACTCCCTGCTATTTTCAGTTAATAACGACTCATCTTCTACTGTTGTTAACGATCCTGCTTGGGCAGTGACAGTTCGTTCTTTATACCAAAGAATTTTGAGAGAATGGATCAGCATATCACTTTCATATGCCCCATGCACTAGCCAGGGTCTACTTCAGGTTGATTTGATAATCCATTAATTATTGGATGCCAGAATAATTTGATATGTGCATTCTATTTTGGTACAAATCAGTGAATAGTTCAGCAGTTCTGCTTATCCTATTTGAGTAATTTTAACATTTTCATCAATGCATTGAGAACGAGAGATGCTCTCTCCCTCATTTCAGGCATATTCAGCTTGTATTTTTCTTTTATATGCAATGAAGTCTTGTACTAGTCAAAAGGGCCAAAGAGCTGCAAAATGGAGTCATTTTATTGAAATGGAAAGTTATCTTTTGGTCATAATTGCAATTAATGATTATCAATCAATAACTTGTTTTCTGGATTGTAAGTCTTTGGATGATGAATAGTTCATGGTTGGTATTATTTAAAAAATTATCCCAAAGAGTGATTTTATATTTGTTTAATATTTTGATGTAGTATATGCAAAAAATAATTTCATAAGCATTTATGAAAATGTCGAATTAGATTTCCCCTCTGTGTTTTATTGATATACTTTCTTTGTTCTGTAAGCCACTTTGTGACTTAGGTTAGCCCTTTTTTTGGTTGCTGACTAGAATGGTGGTGCATTTCGTTGTAAAACATTTTAGAGTATCCCCTACAATATCTTAGATTTCATTTATAAATTGCTGAAATTTTGAAGTCTATGACACTTATGTTGTTACAGCTCTTTGGTTGTATGATGATTTTGGAGGGAAAATCTGATTTGTGTTTTCTGTTGTAAGCTTGCTGTCCCAGTAAGCATGTCAGTGGGGTTAGGTAGCAGGTATGGGCTTTAGTATTGAGTGTTTAAGTGAACAAAGTATGATTAGTTATGAGTTAAGCTAAGCATGCTTAAGGTGTAGCAGTAGGCTACTTTTACATTTTCTACCACGTAATTAGATCTACGTAAACACTAAGGAAATCAATGAAATTATAGTGTAAAAGGTTCAGTTACAGAACCTTTGTTTTTTGTACATTTGTTGTGTTAGTATTATCTCTACCCTTCCATTTCTCAACATGAACCAGGTGACTCCTTTAGCATTTCAATTCTCAATTAAAACTTGTAGTTTGCAGCTTAAACAAGAAAGCGGTTGGTGGTAAAAAAGAGGCGAAAGTCCTTTTGGAATTGTGCCTATTTTTCAGTGGAAGTGTTTGGAAGGAGAGGAATACCTGCATCTTTGAGGAACAGTTTGTCTTTAATATGTTGTGAGACAAATTGATTTTATTGTTTTGTTTCGATGTTTCTTCTTGAGGGGCTTCACCAGGAATGTAAATGCCCTTCTGACATTTTTTCATCCTTTCTGATTGATTTACTTTTGGGGTTGTTTTTGAGTGTGGAATAATAACCAGGGTTTGGGGTGAAAGTAAGTGAAGAATGAGTGATAAATTTTCAACCGTTTACACCAAACCCAATGTTACCAATAAAATGAACCATCATTGTTGTTGGAGAACCTTAACCCACCATTATCACTCATGCTTAAACAAGTAAACAAAGTTGAAATATTTCTGGTTTTTATATTTATGCTTTAACCTGGTAAAAAACATATTTATCTATTAGCAGTTTAACAGTTAATCTTCAATTTTGATAACAACCTGATAAACTTTAAAAAATAATCTTATACGTATGGAAATTAACATTGCATCTTATTTCCATTTATGCAGCATCCTTAATTCCTCCTTGATGTTTATGATTTTCTTGCTTATATAATTTAAAATTGACATCGATTCTTCTAGTATTCCTTGTTGTTATCTTTATCTTGATAGATTTGGCTTTTCTTTTCTGGTGGTTCCACATACTATAGGAAAAGCTCTGCAAAGCAAACACATGGCAGAGAGCACAACCGACAACTGATGTGGTTTCTCTTTTAACTGAGATACGAATTGGGACTGGTAAAAATGATTGGACTGGCATACGAACAGCTAATATTCCTGCAGTCATGGCTGCAGCAGCTGCTGCATCAGGAGCAAACTTGAAATTGACAGAAGCCTTCAATTTGGAGGTACTCAGTACTGGTATAGTCAGTGCAACAGTTAAGTGCAATCATGCTGGAGAAATTGCTGGGATGAGAAGGTTATATAGCAGTATTGGTGGATTTCAACCTGGTAACCCACAACCAGGTTTTGGAGGTGGTCTTCAGAGATTAATATCTGGAGCATTTTCTCAACCTCCACAGGAGGATGATTCATTTAATGGGATATTACTTAACAAGTTTGTGCATCTTCTTCAACAATTTGTCAGCACTGCAGAGAAAGGCGGCGAAGTGGACAAATCACAATTTCGTGATACTTGTTCTCAGGCAACTGCATTACTTCTCTCAAATCTGGTAAAAATATTCTCATGTTCTACTAGCTAATGTGTAAGTTTTTCAGAGAGAATTTTTTTTCCATGTTTTTTCTTTTTGACCAGGTTTCTGATTCAAAATCTAACATAGAGGGCTTTGCTCAACTTCTACGTCTTCTTTGTTGGTGTCCGGCATATATTTCTACACAAGATGCAATGGAGACTGGTGTTTTTGTTTGGACATGGTTGGTTTCAGCTGCACCCCAATTGGGGTCTCTTGTTCTTGCTGAGCTTGTTGATGCTTGGTTATGGACAATCGACACGAAACGAGGCCTCTTTGCATCTGAAGTGAAGTATTCTGGACCTGCTGCAAAATTGAGGCCTCACCTTTCTCCTGGGGAACCAGAACAGCTACCTGAAATTGATCCTGTTGGACAAATAATGGCACATAGATTATGGCTCGGATTTTTTATTGATCGCTTTGAGGTCAGTAATTAATGAATTTCTCATACTGTCTCTTTTCCCAACTGCATTCTCTTTTTTCATTTGTGTTACTTTGTTGGTATATATTAGAATGCATTCGTGGGGCAGGATCATGCACCTTGAATTTCATTCTTCTGTCAATTGCATCAAATAGGATTAGATATTGCAATTTTAGTAAGCAATTGAGATGGAAAGGGAATTCGTGAATTGCAGTCTATCTGGTAAGTTTCAGTATGTGTCTTATGTCTGGACTTTGTAATTCAAGCAATGCTGAATTTCTCTCTTTATCCTTCAAAGAAGACAAATAATTGTTTGTTAAGCTGAACTGGGACCTTAGCTTCTCACATCTATAACCATCTTTATTCCATAAAGATTGGCCAAAATATGCCCCAATGCTGTCATATATATGGAATGAGTAAATGAAATTACAAACTTATCTAAAATTCTAGATAAAAAATAGGGACAAATCTTGAATATGAAGTGTTGAATAAAGAAGCCTGTAGAATGTCTAGCTCTTTTGAAGTTATTTTTGTGGAGGTCATAAAAGTATTGTGTATTTGAGATTCAGGGTGCTCTTTTTCTTTCCTCACTCAGGATTGCAGGAACTCTATATGGTTAACAGAGTCAGAAAAGTTCATTTGGTGGAATGTCTACCAGCCCAAAATAAAAGAATGTGTCGCGGTTGAAACTGATGAATAGGAAGAAGAGAATGTGGGGTTGTCAAACTGGGTTGATTTTTTAGCATTCAACTCTTTTGACTGATATGAACTCTGAGGTTGTTGTTGCAGAAACATAATATGGGAATTGCATTGGTTATTTGACTGACTGCTGCCCTTTTCCTAGATATAATGGGATGTCATTGACAGGGGTGCATCACCATCTGGTTATGATTTAAAATTTTCTTGAGAGTTTGCTCTTGGATGAAATATACTCTTGAGGTGCATGTAAATTCAGTAATTGTTTGGAATGCCTAAAGAGTTTGTTTACTTGCTTTATTGTGTCGTTTGATGGATCTTTACCAAGGTTTTTGTCGATAATTGGACTGTTGATTTTTTGGACTCATAATATGCATTGCATGATGTGCTTTTGTTACAGACAAATTTATTGGTTGCATTGATTTGTAGATCTTAGTAACTTCATAAGAACATATGCATGTGATTGTGCATGTGCATGTGTGATCTGATTCACTAAATAAATGCGGTTTCTCATATGTGCTGGTTTTGGCTACAAAGGTTGTTCATCACAATAATATCGAGCAACTCCTGCTCCTTGGCCGAATGTTACAAGGGACCACAAGATCATCATGGAACTTTTCACGCCATCCTGCAGCCACTGGCACCTTTTTTACTTGCATGCTCCTTGGGCTCAAGTTTTGCTCGTGTCAGTTCCAAGGGAATTTGCAGGGTTTCAAATCAGGCCTTCAACTACTGCAAGACCGGATTTATAGGTGATCTCTATTGACTGTAAATTTCTCCATATTTTTACTGTATAGTTTCTTGAATGAATTTTTTCTTATCATATTTATGCTGCTGGCAAGTGAAAGAATAAAGTTTTACATATGCTAAATGAATAGACAATTAGAAAATAGAAAAATATAAAAGGGCAAAAAAAAAAAAAAAAAAAAAAAAAAAAAAAAAAGATGACCTTGAGTATGAGTTGTTGGAGGGAGAGATTTTGAACTGTGTAGCATGATTGCCTGTAATATTTGTTCTAAGCTTCAATGGCACCTATCTAATGCTGACTAAGGTTACAAGACCTGGATAATCTTCATTTTATGAAGGTTTACATGACTGCATATTGTTTTCTTATTTTTGTTGTCCTATATAAATGTTGTGTGTGGGTGTATTGGGGTGGAGGACTATATGCATGGTATTTTATCTACATTAAAATAGCAGATAAGAGTTTGTTATGGTAAAAAAGGCCCCTCTTCCTTCAAAGCTTCCCGCTTCTCTTCTTCCCAAACAGAGGAGAGGAAAAGAAGAGGGTAGGGTTGGGGGGGGGGGGTCGGTTTTCTTCCTCTTGCAACAGAGGAGACTGAAAATGTAAGTAGTGGTAAGGTTGTTGGGGGGGCGTGTTGGGGGTGGTGCATTAGCAAAATGTTGTTAAATGATCATGTGTTAGTTTGTTTTGGTTGATGAAAGTCTGGCAAACTAACTGATTTTCAAACTTGGATGCTTGATCCTAAGTGCTTAACGTGTAGATTATGAAGTTTTCTTTTTGCCAAAACTATGTTCATCAAATGAATGAGGGTGGGTGGGGGGGGGGGGGGTGCATAGCCAAATGTTGTTAAATGACAGTGTATTTGAGAAGTTGGCACTACTGATTTTCAAACTTGGATGTGACCTAAGGTGCTAACTGTAGATTATTCTTTTGCAAAACACATCAATGATGAGGGTGGGTGCAGCTTGTATTATATAGGATGATAATCTTCATTTTGTCAATCATAGGCCTTGGAGAAGAGCTTGTAGTTCTGCTACTGATGGAGGAGGAGACAATACGACGTACCTTCATAGTTCTGAAAGTCAACTGCAATGCCCAATGTTACTATCAATATTAGTTCTGTGTTCTATATTTCCTTTCTGTTAGGTGCAGGCTATGCAACTTGTAATATACTTAAAATGGTGATCCTCATTTATAAAATGCTTTTTTTTTCTTCTGCGGTGGTGGGGTGGGGAGGTGTAGGGTGAAGATTATTTTAGCCAGCGACCATGCTTTACTCATTTATTGGTTGGTGCTACTTGTTGCTTTTCTTTAACTGTTCCCAATGGAAGGGGCAACGGGGGTTTGAATTCCCACCAACTCTGTGGGTAGACACCCAACTGGTGTAATGAAGCATGCTTAATATAGTTAGAAAACAATGATTCTAGCTTTAAAGTCGAAATTTATTGACTACAGAATGTGTGAAGAAAATCCCTAGTCAAAGCTCATATTGTTGAATCCTTTAGTGTAGCTTTTTTGCATTTGAAAATTGAACGTTGTCTTTTGTGCGTGTTTCAGGACCTGTTTGGGCTGGTTTGCTTCTGAGCCTGAATGGTATGACATAAATAATATGAATTTTGCACAAAGTGAGGCTCAGTCTGTTTCTATATTTGTTCACTATCTCTCCAATGAGCGATCAGATGCTCACTCTGATGCAAAAGGACGGGGGCAAGAAAATGGAAGTTCTTTGGCTGATGTGGTAAGTTAATGATTTTCACAGCATATAATTTAGCTATAAATGAGTTTGATAATTGATTCTGCTAATTTATAATCCTGGTATAACTAAGCCCGTCCTGAAATTTTTCTAACCAGTAATTGTATTTACTAATGGAAAATGTATTATTTCATTATATATCACCAAACAGGAAAACTCTCCACGCTTATCTGAAGATGTCCTTATTTTCATTTGAACAGTTATGGTTGTCTTGTGGAAGTCATCAGTTGCTGCTTTGCATATCGTAAAACAATAAAAATAGATAACATTTAGTGACATCTGAACTGGTTTGGTGGAGAAAAAAAAAAAATTACAGTATGGGCAGGGGACATAGTTTCTATTGTTGTATGCAGTTTTCTTGTTGCAATGCAATGCACTGATACAATTAAGTAATTTTGCAGAATGATCAATTTCATCCTGTCTGGGGCCAAATGGAGAACTATATTACGGGAAAAGAGAAGCGGAAACAGCTGCTTTTGATGTTATGTCAACATGAGGCTGATAGGCTTGAAGTTTGGGCACAACCAACTAACACAAAGTAAATTTTAACCACACTATGGCATAAATTCCTAGTGTTTTGTGCTTAGATTTTGAATATGTTACTCGATGTGTCTTTGGGTGTTTTCTGTATTTCTCTTTTTGTGACTAAAAAATATTGCATTGAGAGGGGTGGGGGGTTTGCAGTCACATTAGAAAAGATATCTTGAAACACATGCTGTTAGTTTTTATAGATCTTGAAGACCTTTGCATTCCCGTCAATTTTCAGGGAAAATATGTCTCGGCCTAAAATCAGCTCAGAGAAATGGATAGAATATGCTAGGACTGCTTTCTTAGTGGATCCTCGGATTGCCTTAGCCTTAGCCGCAAGGTTCCCCGCGAATGCTTCTTTGAAGGCTGAATTAACTCATCTTGTTCAGGTACGTAGCAATATCTTTGCAACATGAATAAAATAGATAAAATTTCCCAAATTGTTTATCTTACCTTCTCTTAACCACATCACTTTCGTGTTATGGTATCAATCATGAATCTTCTGCCCTTTATCTGGCAGTCATGCACCCTTTTTGCTACATTTGCAGAACAATTATTTTTCTTTATCTAACCTTTCTCTCACATGTCAATAATGGTTATGAAATCTCTATTTGCACAAGCTAATTGAGTAAGTCTCTTACTCTTTCGCACAAGATGTTCGAGTCCTGTTTTTTGCTACTAATTTCTAGATAATTCTACTTTAATGTTTAAGATAAGAAGGGTATTCTGCAGCTGTGCGAAAAATTTGAAAAGGATTGATTTTAATCCTTTATAGATGTTGGCCCCTTAAGCTCTATATATTCTATTCATTTCTTCATACCATGTTGTTTGATTCACCATCTTCATTTTTTCATTGCAGTCACATATTCTGGAAATACGCTGCATACCTGAAGCATTGCCATATTTTGTTACCCCCAAGGCTGTTGATGAAAATTCAGCACTTTTGCAACAACTGCCACACTGGGCTGCTTGTTCAATTACACAAGCTCTTGAGTTCCTCACTCCCGCATATAAAGGTCATCCACGTGTCATGGCATATGTTCTCAGGGTTTTGGAATCCTACCCTCCAGAGAAAGTGACCTTCTTCATGCCACAGCTAGTCCAGTCATTGAGATATGATGAAGAGGTGCCTTATTTAATAAAAATGCTAATGTTTTTTTGCTCATCATACTTTTTGCATCAAAGCTGTTATCTGTTGAGTTGAAAATCAATACATTGGTTCAGGCTTGGTATGATCAATCCAAATCTTACACAAATTCTAGAGGGGTTCAGTGAGGTTTTGAACTGCTGAACCTAACTTGAACCTTACCTTTATGATATGCCAAATCGAAAGAAAGATGATACAAATGGGGAGGCAGGTTCATTATTTAATCTATTTTTAATCGCTTTTTATATTTTACCATCCCAAATCAATCTTAATGTGATTAGGTTAGTTCGACATCAGTAGTTTAGTATTGGCACAAGTGTAGAGACTCAGATGAATTTGGTATTTGATCCTTAGGCTTCAAGTTTTTGGCTTAACTTGATTCAACTTGCCAGAATGCTGATTGGAATTTGGAATCATATCATTGTTTATGCTACATGCCATTGCAAAATTATGTGTATCTTAATGCATTGAATTTGGCCAAAATGATTTTGCAGAAGTTAGTTGAAGGATATTTGCTCAGAGCAGCTCAAAGAAGTGACATATTTGCCCATATTCTGATATGGCATCTACAGGTGTGAAACATTCATATAATTATGCAGTGCTTTTAGCATGTTCTTTCTTTCTAATGTTATGAGTAAATCCATGTTTTTCCCATTTTGGCTATTTGTTTCTATAAGTTGTGGGTTTATGAATTTCAGGGTGAGCAATGCGAACCAGAACCGGGAAAAGAAGCTACCACCGGAAAGGTACGTCTTTGTGGTCATTTTATTTGTCAATGCTATTTGTACATTGAAAAAGAAACCTAAAACATCATTCTGTAATTGGAAACATTCTTGTAATTTTTCTGGTGTGCATATTTTGGGTTGTTGAATGATCATTTGTTTCTTTTTTAGAGGAAATGAATGATGACTCATTTTCAACATGAAGGTTGAAACACATTCCCTTCAATATAAGCAATAGTTAGCAGATGAACCTCCTTTTTAATTGCAAAGTGTGTTGTGATTGGCCTAAAACCTTTTTTATTATTTTTTTTTTTGAAACTAAAACCAAAGTTAGTGATCAATTGTTGCTCATTTTTGAGCATGAAAAGTTACAATGAGTCTTCACTTTCCATAAATAAGGTATTGATCAGTAGTACACGTAAGTAAAAGAAATTCCTTTTGCAAATTGATCCGAGCTGTTAGAGGTTCTGCTAAAATGGAATATTTCATCAGTTATGCATTAAAATTTATTTTCAAGTAACTCGTGTCAGTCCTGAAAGAAAAGGTTAACAATAAACTAGTCCCCGAGATAATTAAACAGACTTGAACTTTAGCACATTTTACAATTATATATGGTTATTTTAATTTTATGAATTTTAATTAAAAAAATATTTTCTTTTTATTTAAGCAAATTATTTTTCTATATGAAAAAGATTATGAAATTGATAGTTCGATAGTTCTGGCCATCTCAATTTGGCCAGAACAATGAATTCCTTGAATCATGTTACTGACTCAGTGCTTCCCTCTCATATTTTGTCATTAAAGAACAATTAAGTTTATGCAGAGTCTTATATCAATATATTTTGATTTTTTTTTTCAACTCTTTGTAAAATGTTATGACTTAGCAGCATCCTTGTGTTATCAATTATATGTGAATTGGAAACACTATGTTACGTGCACATGGATTGGAGGGTGATAGAGCTGAAAAATATATAAATATAACACACTCAAAAACAATACAATTACATGCCATATTCTACAGTTAAAATTTGCAATCTGAATTGTGTTACTGCTTACCTATTTGCGACTAGATATCATGACTTAAACATTGTGTTGCAATGTATGTCTGTGGCTCTGTGCATATGTGTATCTTATGTATCTATCTGTAGATTGGTAGATCATTATCTGTCAAATGCTATTCAATGCCCAATAACCAAACATATACTTACTGTTATTTCAGAATAGTTCCTTTCAAGCGCTGTTACCAATTGTTCGACAACATATTATTGATGGTTTCGCTGGAAAGGCCCTTGACATATTTCAAAGGGAATTTGACTTCTTTGACAAAGTCACATCTATTTCTGGTGTTCTCTATCCAATTCCTAAGGAAGAACGTCGAGCTGGTATTCGGAGGTATACTTGAGTTAATGCTTTAAATCTTCTTGTTTATATTTTGTATCTTGCTGTTGATGTTTCTATGAACTTGCCACGACAGGGAGTTGGAAAAAATCGAAGTGCAGGGAGAGGACCTTTATTTACCAACTGCTCCTAACAAGCTTGTCAGGGGTATACAGGTGGACAGTGGAATACCGTTACAGTCAGCAGCAAAAGTTCCTATAATGATTACATTTAATGTGGTTGACCGGGAGACGCCAAATGAAATAAAACCTCAAGCTTGCATTTTCAAGGTACGGTTGTGAACCTTTTAATGTGTAAACTTTGGATTAGACTCTCAAAAACCAAATAACAATTACATGCCATATTCTTACAGTTAAAATTTTGGCAATCTGAATTGTGTTTACGTGCTGCTTTACCTATTTGCGATAGATCACATGACTAACATTGTGTTGCAATGTATGTCTGTGCTCTGTGCATATGTGTAATCTTATGTACTATCTGTAGATTGGTAAGATCCATTATCTTCAAATGCTATGGTCAAATGCCTTCAATAACCAAACATATGACTTAACTGTTATGTGTTCAAGATATAGTTCCTTTTTCAAAAAGCGCTGTTACCAATAATGTTTCGACAGACATATTGTTATTGATTTGGGTATTTGTGTCTTGGAAAGTGGTCCGCGTTTTGTACATATTTTCAAAGGGAATTTGACTTCTTTGACAGTCACATCTATTTCTGGTGTTCTCTATCCAATTCCTAAGGAAAGAAATCTTCGATAGCTTGTGGTAATTTACGGTAGGTATACTTGTGATTAATAATGCTTTTTTTAAGATTCTTCTTTTTTATATTTTGTATCTTGCTGGTTTGAATGTTCTAATGTGTAACTTGCCGAACGACAGTCGGTGAGTTTGGTAATAATTTAATTAAGTGCTGATTGGGAAGAAGGGACCTTTTATTTACATCTTGCTGTTGATGTTTCTATGAACTTGCCACGACAGGGAGTTGGAAAAAATCGAAGTGCAGGGAGAGGACCTTTATTTACCAACTGCTCCTAACAAGCTTGTCAGGGGTATACAGGTGGACAGTGGAATACCGTTACAGTCAGCAGCAAAAGTTCCTATAATGATTACATTTAATGTGGTTGACCGGGAGACGCCAAATGAAATAAAACCTCAAGCTTGCATTTTCAAGGTACGGTTGTGAACCTTTTAATGTGTAAACTTTGGATTAGTCAGAAAGTCTCTGGTTTTAAGATGCCCGTGCAATAATTAAATGTATAAACTTAAGAAACTAAGTTTACCCACAAATTAGACTTTCAAATAACTGATATTTTGAAATTAATACATATATATACATGTATATGCCTTTTTGCAAAAACCAACTTTGTTCAACTTTGTTCCGCATCCAATTAAGTTTGATATTATGTTTGCTAATATTGGGATTCAACATAGGAATTAAGTCTGGATTTATTATGCCCAATTAAAAACTAAGCAAATATCACATTTAAAATATACCAAAAAATTAAACATTATTTAATACGTAGCCTAATGTTCTTTAGGGGGAAGGGGGGAAACAACTGAGAAAAACAGTAGCAGTTTGCCACATATCTAGCTTCTCACCCTCACTGGAAGCATATAGCAAACTTCAAAACTCACGACTGCACTTAAAGCACAAAACATGCACAGCTCACATATGCATTATCTACTTTTCTGCCTTGATAGACATCTTCTTCACACCCATTTAATGAATAGTAAGGATTTACACAAAGTTGGGATAAATATATTACAAAAGCTATAAGTCCAGACTCCAGACCAAAAGCAAAAGGAGGTTGTGCGCCTTCTTTTAACAAGCAGCAGGGACTGTGCTTTCAGGTTCAAGAGATATACAGGCAATTTAAGTTGGAATAGAGTGCATACAATTATGTTGATGGTGAAATTTACTTGTCATTTTCAGAAAATAGTTCGACTTGTAATGAGGTGTAAGTTTTGATTTTTTAGTGTAAATACAAATTTTTTTTTATATGAATTTGAAAATTGCAAAATAGGATTGATTCTACATAAGTTAAACTAGATGGTTGGTCCAATCAGGATATATGATATTTCTCAGTGATCTCTTTTGGCCCGAGTGGGGTCTTCATTTGACTAGTATTTGATAATGATACACAATCTCAATTCTTATTCCAAATTCTCATTGTCCTCATTTTAGTTGGTAGATTTAAGTCCAAATATAGTCGGATCCTATCTTTGCAAGTGAAATATTATTATATAGCAATGAAATTTTTGGATTTAATACTTATAATTGGTAATTCTAGTTTCCATTAAAGGTATCAATTACAGATGGTCTTGTTGAAACATTCTCTTATGGTACATTTATGCACATTCAAATTCTTATTCCAAATTCCATTGTCCTCATTTTAGTTGGTTAGAATTGTAATGTTCCAAATATATAGTCGGATCCTATCTTTGGCAATGTGTGAAATTTTATTATATGATTTGGCAATTTGGAAATTTTTGGTATTTTAATACTTAATATATTGGAATTCTTTGTTTTTTGTATGTTGGCCATTTAAGTATACAAATTTTAATCTAGGATTGTGCCTGTCTAAGACATTTCCTCATTATGGGTACATTTATGCACATGATGGGTATGGTTGTGATGAGGCACGAATGAGGCGATTCAGTGGGTCCAAACGTTATAGCTGTTTGTCATTACCAAGACTTGAACTGAACCTATATACACCTGAAGACAATATATCGAAATCGTTTCTGACATTGATGCCTCCATGTTTATCATCATGATATATTTGTAAAGAACATAATTACAAATGATTAACTATTCTAAAAAAAAATATGTTAAATAATGATAATTGAATATTATGTTGGTTTTAGTCCATTTTTTAGGTGTTGAGACCTGAAATAATTTTGGTGGAAGCTTGAATGTTTCTGTTACTTGTTTTGCAATAACTGTATTTTCCTTTTATTTTGAAATAATTGCCTATTATTTTTAGTTTGTGTTGTTGGTTTAAGTTTTTGGATTCATAACCAATTAATTGCGTCACGACTAATTTGGGGTTTTACTGATTTTGGAAAAACTCAGTGAATGTGGTCTAAAAACGTGCTAAACAAAATCTCAAATAAAAACATAGGATAAAGATGCGATTTTTAAAGAGAGTTTGTCATAGTGTTGTAAATTAAATTTTACTGATTGTTTACTATTATGTAATTATTGTTTATTTTCCATAATTGAGTTTATAATTCTTCACAATGGTTTTTTCTTTTAAGGTCGGTGATGATGTGGCAAGATTTTCTTTGCTTCTGTCAAAGTGATATTCAATTACTTAAGACATAAGTGTCAAGCAGTGGGGACTAACGTCTATTGATTATCCGTAATACTGGAGGGTCGTTTCTCTAATCTGTCTCTTGAGAGAGGTATATGAGGTTGACTTTGATTTCCATCATCATTAAAGCTGAAATGTGTGCTTGTGTCCGAGGGCATGCTATATTGGATATGATCCAATATATGTACATACATTTAGATATTGAGCCAGGTGTGGATACTTGAATGTTGATTAATGCTCTCCATTTGTGTGTGAATTGAAAGGTGATTTTCTTTTTCAAAGCCATGTCAAGTAAATGTAAGACATGTGCCTCAATTTGTGAAGAACCTTTAAAGTGGTCAGAGTTCCATTCTTCTCGGGAGTGAATTGTAATAAATCCCAGAGTGGTTTCACTGTTTCGTTCTTTTTGGGCTTTCATGAAGTTTTTGATTTACTCTAAACAGTCAGTTTTATCATAAAGTTTCCTGATTATAGATTATATTAGACTAGTGGCTGAAATAAAACTGAGTGCTTCAAACATTTGTGATTTTTGTGATTGTATTAGAATGTTTAAGATATTTTCTTTTATTATGGAAGAGTCTCGCGTATAACTTTGTATTCCTTGTATGTGGTTGTAAAAATGTTAATACACTTAGTAGTGTTTGGGGGTGGCAAATTTAAGAATCAGCCGATGATAGCAGAAGTTGGTGATTTGTATTAGAATGTTTTAGATATTTTTCTTTTATTATGGAAGAGTCTCGCAGTAACTTTATTCCTGTTTGAAAATGTTATACACTTAGTAGTGTTTGGCAAATTAAGAATGCCAATGATAGAGAAGTTTGTGGTGATTCTGATAAAGCATGCATGCGCATTTTGCATGTATGTTATCACTGCCATGGATAGTGTTGTGTTAGATTAACAGATAGCAGTTCTTGTGAACTACAATCTACCATTAGCCTTTGCGCTTGAGTTCTTCGCAGTGTGGGAAGTTATGGAGAATTCTGGGCTTGCCCATGATCCATGAGGTGCTTTCTGTTTTGAATTTTCTTGAAATTAATTGAACTTCTTGCCTAATTTATAACAAGCTTATGTTCAAAGAAACAAAAAGATCCAAATATATCTTACATAATGGGGGATAAAAATAAAATGCCATATATTCTTGACCTTTCATCTCCCCATGTATCTGAGAATGATATCTTTTAGTTCAAAATGAATCACCTGCAAAATTCTGCATGCTATCTTTCTTAGTATCTATTCTTGAATCATACAGGTGGTTCCTAACTCGCGAAGCAGAAGTCAAATGGGTGAAACAACAGATGGTGGTTTATTTGAGATTTTTCAACAGGATTTTGGGCCTGTAGGCTCTCCTAGTTTTGAAACTGCACGTGAAAACTTTATCGTTAGCAGTGCAGGTTATGCAGTAGCCAGTCTTTTGCTTCAGCCGAAGGACAGACATAATGGGAATCTTCTTTTTGATAGGTATGAGATCTTTTATCCCCTTGTTTCCCTTGATTTTACAATATCTTCAACTATTTTTTCTTTAAAAACATGCTAGCTATGGGGTTTTGAGGAAAAAAGAAAAATGTAAAGAAAAAAAATAAGTATTTGACTCTTAACATAAATGTCAATGCAGTGATGGGAGGCTAGTTCATATTGATTTTGGTTTCATTTTTGAAATATCACCTGGTGGAAATATGAGATTCGAAAGCGCACACTTCAAGCTGAGCCATGAGATGACCCAACTATTAGATCCTTCTGGTGTTATGAAGAGTGAAACCTGGAACCAATTTGTAAGGTAAAATACGCTCTGCATTTTTATTATTGTGTATGCATTTATCGGTCAATATTTTTCGAAGCTGAGTTCTTGATTCTCTTCTTATGATTCCAAATATTTTTTTCGAAAGCTGGTTCTTGTTCTCTTCTTAAAATGATCCGCAGTCTTGTGCGTCAAGGGTTTTACTGCAGCCCGTCGTTACCATGGATTGGGATAAATCAACACCTGTGATGTTGATTGTTTACGACCAAGCGGATTACCTGCTTCAAGTCGGGGTGATCCAAATCGGAAATTCTTACGCAAGAGATTCAATCCCTGAGATGAGCGAGCGTGAAGCTGCCAAATTTTATGATCCGCGTGTGCACAGACGCCTACAACTAAGTGACAACTGCCGGCTATGACTTGATACATATTTCTGAGCAAGGCATTGAGAAGTAGAACCAATATCAATAGAGCTTCTAACATTAAATGTACATGATTGCTATGTAACATTAAATGTACATGATTGCTTGTAATTTTTGTATTAATTTTCTTTTGTCAGTCTTACAGCTGTAATTCTTTTCAAGGGATTTCCACCTTAGAAAAAGGAAAAAGCTTTTGAGGTAAAAGATCTGTAAAAAAAAAAAAAAAACGGCACTTTGTTTGTAAACTAGTGGTGGGATTCCCCCTTGTTTATTAATGAAAATTCACTGCTTCTTGGAAGAACAATCACACATCACATGTTACAGTCTGGCTGTTTTGGATTTGTTAATGTAAATTCTCTCTCTGCGTTAAGTGGTATTTTTCTGGCTCTCTTGAACTAAAGAGAACATGAACTTTTTTTCTAATTTTATAGGTTAACTGTGGAGTTGTGGCTCATTTTTTGTGGAAGAATTTACTGTTTATCAAACACTCCGACAACAGACAAGGATATGAATTCTGGGACGAGGGTATTGATGATCTAGTGCAATTCTTTTTATATTTATTGTAACTTGCACATGAGAATTTATATAAATCGGAGTTTAACTTTCATTTTTTGAAGTTCTAACTTTCATTTTTTTGAATATACTGAAAAAATAGGAGATTGTATATGCACCATAACAAGGATATGAATTCTGGGACGAGGGTATTGATGATCTAGTGCAATTCTTTTTATATTTATTGTAACTTGCACATGAGAATTTATATAAATCGGAGTTTAACTTTCATTTTTTGAATATATTGAAAAAATAGGAGATTGTATATGCACATTAATTTAAAATAAAAAAGGAAATTATGTCTATAGAGTATGGAGACTTCCGATCCACTTGAAGTTCTTGATTCATCGGTGTTTTCGACTAACATTAATGTGTTCTAAAATCCAATTATATTTTGTATCATTACCAACCATGCATTAAATAGTATTTTGGTCAATTATGGTAATAATAATATTTGTTTGTTTAAAAAAAATTTAAGTGATATATAGAATGAATAATGAAAAATTAAATTTTATAATGATTTTTAAAAGAAGCTCTAATTAGAAGATTAAGCAATAATCAATTAAAAATTCATAATTGAAAAATTTTTATTAAAATTAATCCAAAAGTTGAATTTTAAATATATTATTTATTGCAATCAAATTATCGGGCAAGTGCTCGATAATTCTATTTCTATGCTTAAAGCGTGATTTCATCATATTCTGGTCGGTGGCTGTTAATAGGTGAGATGATAGATAAGTTATGCCTAATCACACGAGTACCCACTCTTAAAGTTCTCTAGTGGATTCATTATAATTAGCAATTTGGGGGTCCCTTCTTTCTGGAGATTTGAGCAAACGAGGATGAGTTATAATGAGTTGTCAGATTCTCAGACACATTATTTAATTATGCATGGACCATAGCACCTGGATGCAAGACAAGACTCACATGCTTGCTCTCTCTCCCCATCTCCTTCATATTTCCATTTCTCTTCTCTTTTCTTTTTTCCATTTAAACATCAAGTAAGAACTATGTCAAGTGGATTCTGATCTAATAACTTAAATTATGTCTTATCCATTTTCATCCATGATTCTCATATTTCATTTCTGTTCTATTACACTGTTTATAGTCATTAGCCACCTTTCCATTTTGCTACGTGCCTACCATGTGGAATTAAGGACACAAATGGCAAACAACTACATCAAGATTTAATTACATTTTTTTTTTTAAATATTTGAAAGAAAACAAAAAAACAAAAGTACAAGTATAAATATTGTAAGGTCCTTTTAAAGAGTCGATTTACAAGTAATTTTACTAGTCGGATCCAACCCAATGTTGGACCACTTCTTCCAAATTGCAACAAACTAAGTAGGCCATTGGCCAACCTCCTGCATACAATAAACCAAAATCCTTTGGTCATACATACTAGAAAAAGAAAAAAGGAAATAGTAAAGAATGTTAAGGATTTATTCAATAAAATTAGCGTTTTTTGATAGCTGTTAATTGTTTTAATAACATTTAGTTATTAGCTATTTGAGTAATTTTTTATGAAATGCTGAAAATTAAATATGATATGAGTTAACTTTTTATAAAAACGCTATATTAATATCTAAAAACTAGTTCAAAAGCTATATTACTGAACACTATAAAAAATTACGTTTAGCAAAGCTATTAAAGAAGCCATTGCTGAACACAACCTAAAAATATAAACAACCACCACTTATAAGCAAAAAAAAATCCTTTTCGGTTTTTCCACAACCTCCAAATGCCTAAGGTCCACCTGTTTAAAAAGAATGAAAAAACAAAAGTTATTTGCATATCTAGGGACAAAAATCAAATTCAAAGTTAAAATTTTTTTTCTCTCTTTTTAATTCGAACTCAGTCTCAAACAATTATGCATAGGAGGTGGAAATAAATCTACAATTTCTTTTTTTTAAAAAAAAAAAATTTAGCAGAGACTTTGGTTTCCTTGTGATTCGACCAAACACATATTTGTGGACAACATTTTCTTTCTCCCCAATAATTGGAGTTGTCTTTACTTTTACGTCATTATTTACATGTTATTTGTGTGATTTCTCTTCTTTTTTCATACGCATGTCAAATAAGTACATATGTTTTGGATTATGCAAATATATAAATTACAAAACAATTCACTTTTATAGTAAAAATGAAAAGAAAAATTTATATTTGACACCATCCATACATCAGCATAACGTAATAATTTCCTTAAATAAAGAAAAGTATACATAATTGATAAATGACATCTTTTAAATATGTTTGTTTGAGTTGATTAGAAAAGTGTACAACATAATTAAAATTTTCCTATATTGGTAATTATTAGATTATCAATGAACTTTAGATTTCAAATTACACCTCCAACTAATTCTGCTTTGCCATCTGTTCATATTTTGATTAAATCAATTAAAATTATCGAATTAAATCAATTTGATTTAATCTTTACCTCCTCCATTTCACTTTAATAACAGCATTTGATCTTTTTATAAGAATTAAAACAATGATCGGAACATATTAATTTTTTAAAAATACATTATGAAATGTTAACATCGCACTTCTTAAAATTAAAATTTTCCCATTTAATATTATTACAAAAGTAGAACAAGGTAAAATGATATGTGGAATTGAGGGAGTAATATTTATGATTCGATTTAAGTTTTCATTAAAAAATTAAAAATTTTCGATTCAATTTGATTTATAAACCTAAAATATATACTTAAAATAGTTGTACAACGACTAAAAAATCAACCAAATTAGCTCAAATGAACTGAATTGATTCGATATATTATTTGATTTGATTTGATTTTAAAAATATACAGAATAATATCTCTTTCTTCTTAATTGATTTTTTGTTGGATTTCTTTTTCTTGCATACAAGCTTTCCATATTTTCATATTTCAAACATTACTTGGCTGAATCTCACCCAACTAAGGTAAGAACAAGCATAAAAAAAAAAAAAAAAAAAAAAAAAAAAAAAAAAAAAAATCTCACCAACTAAGGTAAAGAACAAGCATAAAAAAAAAAAAAAAAAAAAAAAAAAAAAAAAAAAACTAATCTAACATTTCATCAAGTAGGTAGATTTACCAAAATATCCTTCAACTAAGCTTTAGTAACAGTAGTGTTAGTAGCAGTACCCAACTGAATCTGACCATTATTTTCACTACTAGCTGCTTTCTTCTTCAAGCTATCCTCCTTCAAAGCAGACCTCCAATTAATGAAACTACCAAAAAGGACCTCCATATCCTCCAATGTCCTTCCTCGTGTCTCGGGCAAACATGTAAAAAAGAAGGTCCACGCTACCGCAGCTATAGCCGCGAACAGAAAAAACGCCCCTCCTATTGTTATTCCTTTGTACAGTGAAATAAAAGTCGTCGATATGACCCCACTTGTTAATCTGTTCACAGCCACTCCCATACTCGTGCCTTGAGCGCGTAGCCTCAACGGAAAGATCTCAGAACTATACACCCATGTGATGGGGCCCATCCCTATTGAGAAAAATGCCACGTAGGCTAATACCAAAAATGCCACGTAGGCTAATACCATTGTTAAACACAATACTATAGCCCATGTTAGCTTATCGTGCGAATGATCTATAATGGTCAACGAAAATCCAAGGGTCGCTAACGAAAATATCATTCCAGCAACACTTGTTAGGAGCAACGGTCGCCGTCCGATCCTGTCTAGCAAAAACGTAGCCACTAAAATGAACATTGTCTTAACAAATCCAACGGCTACAGTTGCAAGTAACTTCTTATTATCTGATTGGATCCCGGCCTTTTCAAATATTCTGGGGCTGTATAATACGACAGCGTCTATACCCGAAGCTTGTTGGAAGAAGTGAATCCCGATCGCACAAACTAAGATATGGCGAACGGACGGTGTAGGATGGAGGAGTAATTCCCGCCATACACCTTCACCATGGGATTGTTTTTGCACTTGAACGATGTCGTCGTTGCAATCTTGAGGAATACCTGCGGCTTCTTTTATATCGGCGTCTTTTATATCGGCGAGTCTTGCTTCAGATTCTTCTTTGGAATCGGAGGTCCTGTCCAGGACTCGCTTGGCTTCACCGAGTCGGCCTTGCAGAATGAGCCAACGAGGTGACTCGGGCATGACAAGGACAATTAGAGCAAGGAAAACTGAAGGAACTGCACCGATTCCAAGCATGAACCGCCAACTCAAATGAGTTGGAAGCTTTGAGAATGCAAAGTTTGATACGTAGCCGAGCAAGATCCCGCCGTTAATGAATACCTGTCAATTAAAAAACGCCGTTAATGAATAATGAATGCAAATGTTTTTATTTATTAAGTATTATAATATTATTATAAGCTATTTTTGGTGTAATGTATTAAATTATTTATATGCATTTTAAATATAACACTTTTGGTTTATTTGTTTTAAAGATGAAATTTTTAAATAAAAGATTTTTTTTTTCTTTTTTTAACATCTCATAGTATTCAAGTAAACTTGTCCCAACATAAAAAATAAATCTATTTTCAGAATTAAAAAATTTATAGTTTTTCAAAGATAATATATAAAATGATAAGAACTATATTATATACTATATTATATAATATATTAATGTATACGTACTTCAGGAAATGAAGTGAGAAATCCACGAGAGGAAGCCGGAGACACTTCAGCAGTATAAACCGGTGCAATCATAAGAGCATAGCCGACACCAATCCCGGCAACAAGCCGCCCTACCATCAGAAACGCATAAGTTGTGGCAAATCCCATTAGAAGAGCTCCCACAAAGAAAATAGCTCCAGCCACCACTATAGTATACCGCCGCCCTATCCAGTCGGAGGTCCGGCCAGCTGCGGCTGAACCAACTAATGAGTATATGTTAAGTGTTCCCACCAGAACTTCTACTTGAAAATCTGAGATTTGCAGATCATCTTTGATGTAGATAGCCGCTCCACTCATCACTCCAATATCTACAAAATCATATATATATATATATATATATATATATAACCAAATCATTACAATTCAAAGCTTGGAATCCATTTCTTGTTTCTTAATTCTTTATAGTCAAAGAAATATATAAATGGAGATAAAACTAAAAAATGGTTTTTAGTAGAAAAAAAGAACTCACCATAACCAAGTAAGATAGAAGTCATGGAAGCCAAAACAGCACAAGCAAGAGCAAATTTATTACTTTTGTGTTTCTTTGGAGGATCGAAGTCTGCAAGTCTTTTCTCTGTTTGGTTTTGGTAGTTGCTGGGATTTGCAACATCCTTCTCTGCTGTGTTTAAAGCAGTCATCTCTCTTTAGCTTAACTGATAGCAAGAAAGAGAGACAGAGAGTGTTTTGAAATGGCTGTGTTAGCGTTTGTTAAGGTTGATTTGGATAAACTCAAGCAGCCACATTAGGAGAGCAGAACTCCGGGTTCTGCAGCTCCATGAGAAACTGGACCTGCTTAAATAGACAACAAGGGCTGGCTTTTTCTTTCTTCCCTTTTTTTTTACTTTTTTTTTAAATAAAAAAATTAATGTATTATCAATTTGGGTGACCTGGTAACCTGTTGATCCGTTTAAAATGGTTGGATTTTCATTTTATTTTATAAATTACAGCTTGTCTTAATATTATAACTAGTGACATGGCCAGCATGTGTATATTCATTGTATTTTTTTATTAATAGTTTTCTCTTGTAAATTTCTCTTGTAAATGTAATTTAATTTATATATAATTTTTTTATTAATTTTTTATATAATTTTTTATTAATTTTTATTATAATATTATAAACGATTTACATTACTAAATTAAAAATTTTACACAAAAATTTCTTAAAAGTGAAATTGTACGTGGTTTGCAGGGATTTAATTATAAAACAAGCATTTCAATTATACTAGTAATTGTACTAATAATCTAATCTATAATTTTCTAAAAAAAAAAAAATTCAATTCACAATATTATTTATACTCGATGATTCAAGCTAGTTAAATTGAGGATCAACATGAGATAATTTAATTGAATACTCAAATAAAACTAATTAAATTGAAGATCAACACGATGCAAATTAAATTAAATTTTATTTAACTTTTAATTTATATTTTTATTTTTAAAATTGATAAAATTATATTTATAATATAGTAAAATTGGTCAAATTTTTTGAAAAATGCTACTAATACAATATTTACTCATTTAGTGAATATGCATGTCAGTTACGTTACTGACTTACGTATGCGTAAGCAAAAGTGGATAAGCAGCAGCAGCGGTGTACTTATTAATTATTATTTTATTAAGTTAGACCAGTCAAAAGAACCACCTTAAGATCTTAAATTCAACAAATGGATTTTATAAGAAACACCTCGTAGTTTTTTTTAGTTGGCTTTATATCATAAACTCAATTTTATAACAATGGATTTATTAATAATTAAAAATTAAATTATATTGAAATGAAAAAAAAAATTAATATTGTAATATAATTTCAATATAACTAAAATGAGGAAGAAGCTACCAAAGATTATATTAGGCTAGTAATTACAAGAGTAAATTTAAAAAAAATTCAAAAATTGACATATTATAAAATTTATATTCACCAAAAACTGAAATCATATTTTAATTTAAGAATTGCACAGCAAACCAAAGTTTTGATTAAAATATTCAAACACAAAATGTATACCATTCACCAAATAAGGAATATTCAATCATTGTTATCTACATCTTTGACTTATAAATTGTATAAATATTCAATTAATATTAAAGGATATAAATCAAAAAGTTTTAAACTTAATAAATATAAAAAATAATTTAAAATTGATAAAATTTGAGTATTTTTAATATTTTATAAATATATTTTTTATTTGATTAAAAAAACTACAATTTCTAAAATTAATAAATTTCATCTTAGTCTCAATTCAATCATTTTATAGAAAAAAATTTCACCCAAGAAGTGGGTTTTCTTGATTTTATTAATTTTTTATTAATAATTAAATTTAAATCACTTCCAAAAAACCTTTTAATTTTATAATTTTATTTTCTCAAGCAGATAATTGAATATGAAATCTAACATATTTGAAAATTAATAAAATTATATTACGTTAATTTATAAAATTCATGTACTTTACGTTCCATTGACTCAAAGTCATTTTAACTTTGCTATACTTCAATAGTTCAAAGTTTTTTTTTTTTTTAATTTTAAAAAAGAGAACTACCAAGTACCAAATATATTTATATATACACACACATGCGTATGCTTAGGAGTACTAATAAACAATTTTAAGTTTTTGTCGGCAGCAAAATATAAATAAGAAATTTGGAATAAGGACAAAAAAGCTGATGCATGTTGTTCTATTTGCAAAGAAGGACAATGTTAACTTTTTCATTGAGTTCATGAAACAACAGTGGGCATCCCAACTAAGACAAAGCTACGAAATTAAGGATTTTGTCTTCACAATTTGCATATCTCATTATTTGTCCCGATACATAAATTCATCCCAAAATTTTATAATTTTAAGTTTGTGGTACACTGAACTTTGTGGATGACCTATCATGCACTTGAATTTATAAATTTTGGTAATATTACATACCTTTCGATATTAATATCAATAGTTTTTAGAATTTTTGATTTTTATCTGTAAAATATTGACTTAATATGCAGTATGACTATTGAAACAATAATTTTCATAATTTTTAACTTTTTAATGAGTGTATAATTGTTCTAATTTTACAAGTTGAAACGTTCAATAAAATAGTTTTGGAAATTGAAGTGTTTAATAGGTATAATTTTATAAAATGAAGTGTTTGATAGGTTAAAGTAAAAGTTGATGGTGCTATAATGTTAAAATAACAAAATTCAAGTGTAAATTTATATATTCAGCCCTCAATATTTTAATGATTCAGTTTATTTCAGACCGTATAATATTTTGTTATGGAAGCAAATTCGATGCATGCAAACTATTTGTTTCATTTAATTTCCTATTGTGTAAAAAATAATTTATAATCTTAGTAAGGATATCTTATGCACAAATAAGATGTTAGTTAGAATAATAAGTGATTTCAATTTTTCCGGATTAAAAGTTTTTACGCTCCATTGCACGAGGGGATTATACCCTTGGTTATACCAGTAAAAAAAAAAAATCATGTATTACTCAAAAATATATGGCAATATTTGTTGAATATGTTATTTTTCTATGCAAATATACATATTCATGTAATGCAATTGGATCAGTAAGGGATTGCATTCCTAGATGAATTTGACTTGCAAGTCAGGTAAAAAATTAAACTATACAAACCTTAAAAGATATATTAGTTTTCTTTTTTTTTATTTCTTTTCAATGTATATATAAAAAAAAAAAGTTGATATAATGGAAGACAAAAAATATCATTAAATAAAATGTTAAATAATTATGATTTTTCCATTATTTTGATGAGCTAAAGAGAGAATCACTAATGCTGTATACCTGCAGTGTTATTTCGACCAATTAAACTTTCCAATAAATAGATAAATTATTAAATGATCTGATTTAAGTATAGTAATCATGTTAAAAGATTGATTGTGTATACAAAGAGAGAAAGATATTCTGATTTCCAATTTAAGACTTTGAATCAAATTGTCAATTGTCTAACCACATTTGTTATGATCAGGTGGCCATGGCAGAGTCACAGTAGCATTATATAGATTAAAACCACTGTCAACATGCAATGTGGCAGGTGGTATTTTTGTAATAATTAAATGAAATATATAAAAATAGTATTATTCATTTACATTTGAAAGGGAGTGAATCTACATTATTGACTACTGTTGTAGCTGTTTCAAGTTATATTGTTCACTATTACTTGTTATTTATAAATGGCATTTGACCTTGTGGTCCATAATTTTTTATTTTTTATTTTAAATTTAATTGTGGTCCATAAATCAAGTATTGGGTAATTTAAATATGATTGTTATTTTCAGAATAGAAAGTGTTATTGTCAGATTAAAATTTATTATTTAGACAAAATTACTTTCCAATTTTTGAATTAAGAATTTTGAAGGATAATTGTAAGTTTTTCAATTCAAATTTTTATTTGTTGTTTGTCTATGTTCTAACATCTTAGATGTTCCATAAAGGAATCTGGGACCATGAAGAAGGCATGTGAAATCTCCTTGATAAGAATGGTGTTTTTGGACACTTTGATTTCCAATTTGGACAATTTAAAAAGACAGAAAGGAGAAACTAAATATAGAGAGATCAATCTTTGTTGATGTTTTGTATTTTGGATTTTCTTCTTGGCTGAGAATTATTATATGCACTTTTTGCATGATCTGTTGTCCTAAACTAAAAAAGAAACCACTAAGTATAGTTGCTTTAATTGTTTCTTTATTTTCAAGTCATGCAATTCAAGAGTGTTCATTGCATAAGTTACCAATAAAAGTGGCTACCTTCCTCCTATAAATCTCTCTTTAATATTCCATTTGCTTATAGAACCTGTATCTCCCAAACAGAGTCCATTCGAGAGAATTAGTTGTTTTTCGTAATTTTTTATAAAATGCTAAAAGCTAAATATTATAGGATCCAACCAACCCTTAGAACATACTACAACAGTAGATGGTGAAAGGCCCACATCGAGGTGTCAACCCTTTATGTCGATGTATTAACATTTTATAAAATATTACTTTAATATCTAAAACCTAGTTTAAATGCTATATCAGTAAACACTTTACGTTTTGATAAAACTATTGAAAAGCTGTTGCAATTTTTTAAAAAATAAATGTCTGATCAAAATTCTAATTAAGAGGCCATTAATTTGTGGTCCTTACTATTTACTTAGCATAAAGCACTCAACTGTTACATTATGAGTTCAAATCAATTAGAATACAACTAACGAATGAAAAATAAATAGAACGACTTCGTAAATTTACATGCATAAATAGCACTTGAGATCTAAATTATTTACTTAAATCAAATTATTTTTAAAACATAATACTCAAAAATTATATAAGAGATTCATCCATAGAGTATAAGATTTCAGATTTACGAGTATTCGCATGTATTTTCAAAATTTAAATATCATCTTTCATTCAAATTTAAAATATATATGCAACAGTTAAAAGAGATAATTTTTTAATAACATTATTTTATTTTACACCTTTTAATTCATTATTATTATTATAATATCGAGAGTGTGTGAACATAATCAAATAATATGCAAAAAGAATAATTAAATATTAAAAGAAGCATGGATATTATCAAGAAAGTCAATGGGTTAATATAATACAAGATTGCAAAATTATCTTTTTTCTTCAATTTGTCCAAAAGTGGCTACCAAAGTCTCTTCAACTTATATTTTTATTTGTAGGTCAACAAAGACGACGGTCTGATCTATCAACATATATATGATAGCCTCTGCCCTACATTTTCCCTTTTGTATACTCCATCTCTTTCCTTACAACTTGGGAAATTTTTCTCTTTTTCCTCCTTTTCTTTTTTTTTATTTTATTTTTTGTCTTCAAT